ATAAAACCTATGGGCAATATGTAAACATCACCAAGTCTTGATGTGTTGAAGAACAATTGAGCTTTCAAAATTCACCTACTAAACAAATACAAAAGTGACAAACATAACATATAGATACTACCAGTGCAAAACCATCTTTACTGTGTGTGATGACAATAAAACAAAATAATTTGTATAATAATATTAAAACATAAATTTATAACCTCAAAAACTAATACTCGGTATAAAATTGCAATTCAACTAGGTATAATTGGTGCTCTTTTTCAATCAGCTTTTCTACTTCCAACTTCACACTTAAGATGGAGGACATAAAAATGTTGCTAATAAACATGCAACAAGAAATAAGACAGCAGAAAACAGAAATGTTAGAAATGAAAGAAGACATTAAAAATACAATCAAAAATAATATTATACTTAAATGAGAAATTTAAACACTTAGAAATAAAAATTGAAGTTCTTGAGAAAAAAATCCAGGAACAAAGTACCTCAATAAATAATTTAGAAAGACATATTAGGCGCAAGAACTTGGTTATGTTCGGAGTAGAAGAAGGTGAAAAATCCTATCATGAACTAGAGGAAAAAATAGTCTTAAATAAACGCAAGGAGTTACAAGCCCAACTAAAGATAAAGAAAAAGACCTAGGCAAAACAGCTTTCATTAAATATGACAAACTAATTATTGTGGGTAATAATAAGAACACTTCTCGCCAATACTCAAATAAAAGAAGTCTGCCTGTATCTCCAGAAACGCCTTACATCAATTATAAACAAAAACTAACAAATAAACAACATACAAAGAAAACCAAACCTGCTAATATTAAAGACGGCTCAACTGTACAATCTATGACATCGAGTTGAAACTTCATATTTTTTTCACTAATAGATCTCTCTATTAAAAGCCTATACATAAAGTTTGAGACCGCGGAAACAAATAGTTTTGTCAAAAAAAATTTCAAGTTTCAACTTTGCGGACACTCCTCCTTGCGGACAGCCTCTTGTAGTGTGGAAGTTGTGCGAGTATTCGTTTAACGTAACTTTCGCACACCGGTTGGAGAGCATATATTCCACCCATCTGGTGGTTGTGATATCAACATTTGCATTTAATCCTTTCAGGATGGTTGCCGTAGGTGTGTTATCAAAGGCCCCCTCAATGTCCAAAAATGCACATAGAGCTGTCTGCTTATCCTAGGGACCTTTCTGCCTTGTCGATCAGAGCTACTAAGGCAGATTCTGTGGATTTACCCATTTGGTAAGCATGTTGGTTGCAGGAAAGTGGTCTAGCCACAAGATACCTTGTGCTAATGTGCTGATCGATTACTTTTTCCATTGCTTTTAGTAGGAAAGAAGTAAGACTAATAGGTCTAAAGGATTTGGGCTGAGAGTAGTCGTTTTAACCGATCTTCGGTATAAAGGTAACCTTGACCTTAGTCCATTGTTCTGGTATAATGCCCCAAGCAAAGCTTGCTCTAAATAATTTTACCAGATGCGGGATAAGGAGTTTCATGCCCTGTTGAAGCAGAGCTGGAAAAATTCCATCTTCCCCTGCTGATAAAAGCAGCATTTCCTACAACAAATCAAAAGAACACAAAGATAAAATTATAAACTTTATAGGCATATCAGAAACAAATTATATATTGGAAACAAAATTTGAAAAAAACCCTTTGCAATCATACAAGCATAATCTCCAACGGAGAGCTCTATGCAGGGCTACTTTGGAGGAGGCTTTTAACCGAGAGGGGTCTATACATGAAAAAGACAATGACTAAATAAATACATTTAAATATGAAATTAAATACCTAATTTATAACTATTGTCAGAATTAATGTATGGAAAGAAATTTTATTTATATTTATTATTGTAAATTTTTAGTATTTACTCAATTGAATTATTTAATATATTGTGATTTTTTATTTATTTATTTGTTAATGATAATTTATATATAGGTATACAATATCATTTCAAATAATATTAAAGATTTTTAAAATAATTTAATTCCAGGTTACAAAATTATTTGTTAAAAAATTATAAGTTAATAAATAGTCACTAACCAAAAATTGAAGTTAAATTAAAAATAATGAAATAAGTTATAAATATGATCTGTTAAAATACAATGTTAAAAATTGTTAATTAAGTAAGAGTAATTATAATTTAAAATTATAAGTAACCATGTATACAATAAATAAAGCTTTATTATTATTATGATTTCTTTTGCATTATTTTAATAAATTAATAATTCCACGCAAAATATTATGTTCGATAATTTCGCACGCTTTGATACAAGCATCATGGTCTGGGTTCATATCCCTTCATTTCACTTTAAATACATATGTACATATTATAAATATAAACACCCATGACTGGAGTACAAACATTCGTGCTCATCACACAAATTGCCCCTAGCGGGACTGGAACCCGCGACCTCTGGCACAGCAATTAGAGTCACTACAAACCGAGCCAAATGTGTCGTCGTATGCAAATGCAAAAATAATAAATACTTAATTACAAATGAAAAAGCATTACGAAAAAAAAATTGGTTTTAATTGAGACTTAACTCGAATCATATACATTCTCTGTTTTCCAATTAGAGTACAATGCCGCACTTTGGCGCACAAACACAAACAACGCGAAAAAACACTACGTGAAGCCGTCGATCCTGCGCCACGTTAGTTGGTCGTGTCGATTTAGCGTTAAACCGAAGTTTGAGAGTAAAAGGAACAGATTTGTCTGTGCGCACACTTGTGTTCTATAATATCTCCTGGGCAGTTGGCTAGTCTTAGTGAAATTGCCCGCCGTGGCCGAAATCGGTGAGGCCATTCTATTAAAAACATCTTGATGGAACTCGACTGGTAAGGTAGCCTTTGCAAGCCCAGCTCACCTACAGTTTCCAAGTCATACTTAGTCACTAATTTGTACCAAAAATGCACATAGAGCTGTCTGCTTATCCTAGGGACTTTTCTGCCTTGTCGATCAGAGCTACTAAGGCAGATTCTGTGGATTTACCCATTTGGTAAGCATGTTGGTTGCAGGAAAGTGGTCTAGCCACAAGATACCTTGTGCTAATGTGCTGATCGATTACTTTTTCCATTGCTTTTAGTAGGAAAGAAGTAAGACTAATAGGTCTAAAGGATTTGGGCTGAGAGTAGTCGTTTTAACCGATCTTCGGTATAAAGGTAACCTTGACCTTAGTCCATTGTTCTGGTATAATGCCCCAAGCAAAGCTTGCTCTAAATAATTTTACCAGATGCGGGATAAGGAGTTTCATGCCCTGTTGAAGCAGAGCTGGAAAAATTCCATCTTCCCCTGCTGATAAAAGCAGCATTTCCTACAACAAATCAAAAGAACACAAAGATAAAATTATAAACTTTATAGGCATATCAGAAACAAATTATATATTGGAAACAAAATTTGAAAAAAACCCTTTGCAATCATACAAGCATAATCTCCAACGGAGAGCTCTATGCAGGGCTACTTTGGAGGAGGCTTTTAACCGAGAGGGGTCTATACATGAAAAAGACAATGACTAAATAAATACATTTAAATATGAAATTAAATACCTAATTTATAACTATTGTCAGAATTAATGTATGGAAAGAAATTTTATTTATATTTATTATTGTAAATTTTTAGTATTTACTCAATTGAATTATTTAATATATTGTGATTTTTTATTTATTTATTTGTTAATGATAATTTATATATAGGTATACAATATCATTTCAAATAATATTAAAGATTTTTAAAATAATTTAATTCCAGGTTACAAAATTATTTGTTAAAAAATTATAAGTTAATAAATAGTCACTAACCAAAAATTGAAGTTAAATTAAAAATAATGAAATAAGTTATAAATATGATCTGTTAAAATACAATGTTAAAAATTGTTAATTAAGTAAGAGTAATTATAATTTAAAATTATAAGTAACCATGTATACAATAAATAAAGCTTTATTATTATTATGATTTCTTTTGCATTATTTTAATAAATTAATAATTCCACGCAAAATATTATGTTCGATAATTTCGCACGCTTTGATACAAGCATCATGGTCTGGGTTCATATCCCTTCATTTCACTTTAAATACATATGTACATATTATAAATATAAACACCCATGACTGGAGTACAAACATTCGTGCTCATCACACAAATTGCCCCTAGCGGGACTGGAACCCGCGACCTCTGGCACAGCAATTAGAGTCACTACAAACCGAGCCAAATGTGTCGTCGTATGCAAATGCAAAAATAATAAATACTTAATTACAAATGAAAAAGCATTACGAAAAAAAAATTGGTTTTAATTGAGACTTAACTCGAATCATATACATTCTCTGTTTTCCAATTAGAGTACAATGCCGCACTTTGGCGCACAAACACAAACAACGCGAAAAAACACTACGTGAAGCCGTCGATCCTGCGCCACGTTAGTTGGTCGTGTCGATTTAGCGTTAAACCGAAGTTTGAGAGTAAAAGGAACAGATTTGTCTGTGCGCACACTTGTGTTCTATAATATCTCCTGGGCAGTTGGCTAGTCTTAGTGAAATTGCCCGCCGTGGCCGAAATCGGTGAGGCCATTCTATTAAAAACATCTTTATGGAACTCGACTGGTAAGGTAGCCTTTGCAAGCCCAGCTCACCTACAGTTTCCAAGTCATACTTAGTCACTAATTTGGAATTTAACACAAAGAATAATAATGGATAGTAAGCCATAAAAAAAATAATGGCTAGTTTTTGAGTGTAAAAAAAACACCAAGGGTTCAGTAGCATGAAACATTCGAATATTTTATAATAGAATATTTTTTTTGATGTAACTTATAAATTTATGATTTTCGGATTTTTCCTTTTATTTGTGTTTCTCGCCTTTCATGATCCTGGTCAACGGGAAGTACCCTACGGTTTTGATTACCCTTCAAGTAATTAAATAATATGCATATACATAGCACAAATGGGCATCTTTTGATGGTGATGACTTAGAAGTTTGATTATTCACAGCTCCAAGGGATTACCGACCTGAGTATTTGATATTAATTTCAATGTGATATCTTGCAGTTACGCTGTTAAGTTAATATTTTGAATAATAACAGAACTTATATTACTTTATTATATACCTTTATTTTTATTACTATTTCATTCACTATCAAATTGATTCATTAAATATATTACTATCCATATAATCTAGACCATCATCTTTCACAAACGATGAAAAGTAGGTACCATTATTAGCATCATAATTATATTGATTGCAAATACAATAATAAATACTTTTACCGCATCCCCTACATTTACTACAATGTTTAGTCGTTATTTGATTATCAAAATTACATGTAACAAAATCATCTATTGTAAAATTTATATTGTGTGATATATCACAATTAAATGAATTAATTACATTTGTATTTAAATAGTTATCTACACTTTCAAATGTACTTAAATAATTAAATTTTTTCTTTTCTTTTTTAGAGAGCACTTTATCAAGCATGAATACTAAATGATGATGATAACATTGAAATGTTATTTTATCCATACTCTTATTTTTTATATCCATCCAAAGTTTTATGCAACTAAGTGGGGTCTTACTTGAGCCACTAAAGAGTGAAGGATTATTAAGTATTCCTCCAGCAGCCATTACTCCATCACATTTTGTTGATTTATACAGATGATCTGCATCATCTAAAGTCTTAATACCACCATTAGCAATTATGGGTGTATTTATTATGTCACACACTTCTCTAAGTGTGTCTTCATCAATGTCTTCACCATTTTTTTGAATAGGTGTTCTGCCATGAATAGTCATAAAATCAATACCACATTTCTCTAGCTGCTGACACATTACTATTGTTTTTTTCAGCTCCTGTAAGATCCTTATTTTAACTGATACACTAAAAGTGGATGGAAACTTATTCCTTACACTTCTTAGTAAGTCATGAATTAATTCTGGAGTGGATAGCAAGGCACAACCATATCCATCTTTCATTGCCCATCTCTGAGGACACCCACAGTTTAAATCAACACCATCTGCGTAAGGATATACCAATGTTGAAGCATCTAAGAAATCATCAACATTATTTGCGGCAAATTGGACTATCAGAGGTGTGTCATTGACTGTCGTCATAAATTCATTAGTCCTGGCTTTAGCATTTTGGCAAAACGAATCAGCTAATATCATCGGAGTAAAACATAAATCAACGCCAAAACTGAAACAAAGTTTTTGTTGACGTGTTACCATTTCATCAATTATGTGGATTGAGGTGAATAATATAAAATAAATTTTACATACTTCTTTACTAAAGTTCTAAACTGTATTTTACTGTATCTAACCATTGGCGCGCACACTTTAACATAAGTATTGTTAGAACGTGCATCATAAAATAGTTCAGATACATTTGTTTTCATTTTCATTATAAAAAAATGTTTGAATATTTTTACTTAATACAAAAAGATCAATTTGTTTCTCTTAAATTATAAATAAAATCTTTAACCTAAAATGTAAACAACATGTAACGAATTACGAAGCCCCTAAACGTCAAAATCAGGATAACAGACTGCGTAAGCTGTAAAGACTTAAGATTCAAGATAACTTACCAAAGACTATAGATTCTAGCGATCATTGAAAAAAAGAGATATGCAATCCCGCTGCAAGATTAATAAGTTCATAGCGTATTTAATCGAAATCAATTTTTTATATATAATAATAAAAGGGACGATAAGTTTTGACGTGGGTGCCTATTCAAATGTGCCCGCTATTATGTTTCATTAACTAAATAATAGTCAACTTTTTGAAACAAAAACGATGCATTTGTTATTACAATGAATTGTACTCCACTTCACAGATCACGTGGAGATCTTGAAAAATGATAGCTGCCGTTGCGCATTTGGCCCAACTCTTCGCAGCCAGGTGAAAGCGGGTCATATTTTGGGACGTTTATACGTTCATCACGTATGTTCATCATTTATATATCAAATTAAAGCAATTTTTTTTCTGTACATGATAAACTACGTCTGCATATGTAAAAGTGACCGCAAAAGTGGTTGTGTCATTAAAAATGTTTTTATTACATTTATACGCTCATGGCGTATATTCATCATTTATATATCATTATTTTTTTTTAATTAAAGCTAACTTTTTTTTGTGCATGATAAAATACCTCTCACAGGCTATGTAAAAGTGGCCGCAATGGAAAGAATATAATAATATATATTATTTGTCAGACAATAACAACGGTTAATCTACCTTTCAAATTATAATAAGAAATAATTAAATTAATTAATTAATTAAATACTTTTTATTATTTATATCTACAAAACGTCTATGGGATAAATGTTTTTGTGTGTTCCAATTTTTTCTTTTCAAGTACCAGTTTTTAGCGACATCTGTACTAGGTTTAAACTTTACTCGGCCACTAATCACTATCTTTTATCTATACCATAAATCCCTGGAGGAGTGTGCCAACTGTCAAATGCGGACTGTGAAGCTGTGAAGTGTGAGCAATGACATAGAGAACATTTACATAAAATATAAACGTATGTGAGTCTGTGGCGAACGGGACAAGTACAAGCGAACTATCATCACTTGTTAATTGTTTAATGGAGTTTAAGTTTATTACATTATGAATAATAAAAGTGTAGATATTGGTTTTCTAGAAGAAAAAGATAATTGGCTTTTACATCCAAAATTTTTTCCAAGTAAAGTTGGAGGAAAACCAGCATGGTTAGATTTAAAACATATTCCTGCGCCTAGAGAACTAACCTGTAAAGTATGCAGTGATCCTCTTGTGTTTTTATGTCAAGTATGTAGAATAACACCTTGGTCTAATGCTATTCAAATAATATTTGTATATAAATAAACTATTACCATTTAAATAAATTTTTAGGTATATGCGCCTTACGAAGAAAATAACGAGTGTTTCCATCGCACCATATTTGTATTTATTTGTAAAAACGGTTCTTGCTGCAAAACTAATTCGATAGATAATTTTTTGGTATTACGTTGTCAGTTACGACGTGAAAACGAATACTATTCATTTGAACCATATAAAGAAAATATAAATGAGGTAGAGTCAATTTATATAAGTTCTAATCAACCGACAGTAAGCTAAATAAACCAACGTTGAATGATTTTTTCAGAAGTTTTCTATGGAGAAATGGTCTAAATTGTGTATTCTTTGTGGTGCAAAGGGCCCATCACATTGCTCAAAATGCAAAAAAGTTTTCTACTGCAGTCGCAAACACCAAATTATGGATTGGCAAAAAGGACATAAAGAACAGTGTCCTGAATTACAAAAGGTTTTTGTTTCAATCTGTCAAATATAATTTTAATTTACCCTTGATGTAATAATTATTATTCTAATAATTTCTTTTACAATTCTTATATATTGAGTTTCTAAAGCAAAAATATTTGTGTAAAATATATGTGTTATCAAAGTATATTAATACAGCAAACTTATTAATTCTTTGGAATTTCAGGAAAATGAGCCTTGTTTATATAATTTTACTACAACAGAGGCTGGAAAAAGTTTATTATTTAAGGAATGGGAATTAATAGTTGATGAAGAAGATGAGGTAAATTTAATAATATGTAATAGTTGTTACTAATTTAAAAAGTATAGTGTATTAAAATACAAATATTTTAGGAAGAAGCAAATGATGTAAATCCAAATAAAGAAATGGAAAAATTAAAAAAAATGATACAAGAAAAAAAGGCTGGTACTATGAACAATGTAAGTGAAAGCGAATTAGAAGAATACACGACCACCTTGCCTGAGGACAAAGTTTTCAATAAATTCACAAAGAGGATAGCTAGACACCCGGACCAAGTTTTAAGATATGATAGGGGTGGTACTCCTTTATGGATTGCTGGAAATTCACCAAATAGTTTAACCCAAATTCCCAACTGTAAATACTGTGATGGAGAAAGACAATTTGAATTTCAAGTGAGTATATTTGTATGCATTTGTAATGGCTGTATGATATACAGTAATTTATCCAAAAAGTAATGTGTGTACTTGTAAATTTCATTTTCAAAGAGATTTCTTTTGAACAACATAAAATAATATCTTATGTCTCAGACAAAATAATTTTAAATTATTCAATATTTTTATTATTTTTCTTTTAATGATATATATTCTTCATTGCAGATTATGCCACAATTACTTAACTATATCAATGTTGGTATCGAACTAAACAGTATAGACTGGGGCATACTAGCTATATACACCTGTAAAGAAAGTTGCAACATTGAGCCTGCATATAAAGAAGAGTTTATAATAAAACAAGATTTAACTAATTAGAATGTTTAATAAATAAAATAAAAATATTATACATGATCTTCATTTCTTCAGTCTATATACCATTCTAATTCCTACTATCATCTTTTTTTTTACCATAATCTTCTGATAAATAAGTTAATAAATCATTTAATCCAGTGAATTCTGTTCTTGACTGTGGAGGATTGTTCCTGGGCAGAATTGGCAGTAAATTTCCCATTTTTATTCTAAAATCCTTAAGCTAAAAGAAATTCTTTTTACGTATTTAATACTCTTAAATATATCAAATGTTTATTATGTTTTTATTCACTTACATCTTTAGCACCAGAAAATTTCCATATACCATAACATATGCATGTGGTTCCACCAATGGCATAAAGAGTACCCCAACCAAGTGCTCTTAAAGCAAGTATAGCACCTGCGTCTGCTAATTCAACACTGCCATGTAGTCCTGTAGTAAAAATCATTCTAAGTAAAACAAAGTCATTAGGAATTCTACATTTTTATTTTCTTTACGTATTAATCTAAATAACTTTATAAAGAAATCAACAATTTTACCCTTAAATATAAAAAAAAAACAATATCTTACCCTTACTAAAATATTTTGGATCAGTTTTCTTAGCTGCTGATAAAGTGGCACTAAACCCAACAAAAGCTGATATTCCAGCAACAGATGCCAAAAACGCACCACCTAAAAAATAATTTTATATTCAAACTTTCTAAATATATTTTTTTAATAACTCTGTAAAAGCAGATATTATAGTGACACTTGTTAGGTATATATTAACAAACTTAAGAAAGTAATGTGTATAGTCCATAGAAAGTATAATATTTTATAGCTCATCCTAAAGGATACATTAGAAACTTCTAAATATTTTATGAGTAAATATGTATTAAAGTAGTTGTAAGTACGACACGAAAAGTAATATGAAAATAAAAGTTTAGTGGAAATATGTTAATTAAATTTTTCTTAACATTTATGAATACATAACTTTTATTCTTTCAAGACGTTCTTTGTCAGCCATTGAAAATTGATTTAATACAGATGATTAAGTGACCAAAATAATAACCTCCATTCAGTGCATTGCAAAAGTTACATAAAGTGATCTAAATAATTAAATAATACGAGGGATTACTTGATTTATTTCGGCTGTCAAATAAGCTAATGCAAATGCTGTCCCTGTCAAGATTCAACTGTCAGTGTCAATTTAGTCCGCTCTGCAGTCGTAGTAAAAATGACATTTGTATGGTCACAGACTATAGATAGAGCTATACTATGTAAAATATTGTGTTCCAAGTTTATTAAAAAAAAATACTAAAGCGCTTCCAAACATAAAATAAACTACAATGTGTTGAGCGTTGCTTTGTTTGAAAAAGCTATAATGTATTTTGCATTGTTTCTAAAATAAAGCCTAGGTTTTACGAATAAGCTTGTTGAAAAAATCTTTATTTGGCGAATCTTCTTCTTCTCCCTGCCCATTTCCCAAATCACTTGGGGTCGGCGCAGTACATCTTCAGTGTACTGCTGATAGGATAATAATGGCGAATACTTTTTCTAATTATTTTTAAATGTAAGTTCAAGATTATTTTGTACTTACATATTTCAATTCAATTTACGTCTTCAGGCAAAGGCAGAAATAATTTGGCACGACTTTGGACACGTTAAAATATGATTATTTATTGAGAACCCTCAGGGAAGATTTCTTGAAAGGAGGGCGCTACACGTATGATCTATTTACATTCAGTCTGAGGTTACGCAATTTATTATTTATTCATTTATTAGGTTTATTTACAATCACTTACAATAATACACACAAATATAAAAAATAGAACTAAATAAACACAGCATACACAGAAATAAAATTTCTCAAAATATTATACAAAATATATTTAGAAGTAAACAGTGTTTTTTTTTAATTAATCAATGAGTAGGTACACAGTTACATTAATTTAACAATTTTTAACATTATATAAGTCTATCAAAGCATTTATTTAGCAATTTGGTGCATATGGTTTGCGGGTTTTGGCTAAGGAATCAACAAATATGTCGACATCTATGCTATAAGAATTTAGAGTTTTGCATAACCGTGAGACCGAGGAATTGAAATAAAATTTTAATTATGATATCCTTTTTATATAAACATAGTTTTTGCTTTTATTATGTTCGCATCTTACCTGTGTATTATGTATTGTACCTGAAAGTTAGACCAACTGAAGGAAGAATTGAGAAGGAGAGGTGCATCCTATGCTGCCCACCTGAGCCTAAAGTGCAGTAATAGACATTTTGGTCGGTTTTGAGTTAAATATATATTCTAAATCCCCATTTTAGTAGCTATCAGTCAAATTAATTTTTTTTTCTGTAGCGCTAATAAAAGTATTTTATTTTAATGTTTTTTCGGAAGGTGTAACAGCAAAAATATCACAAATCTGTTAAAATATTCCATGTTTACCAGCTAAACCGCAGTACAATTAATACTGCACAAGATTTTTCTCTGTTTCCTAACTAAACTGCAGTGTTTTATCATATTTTGTGGCACTTAAAATAGTAGTTTGTTCTAGGAGATTCAAGAAAAAACTTATTAAAATGCAGTATTATTCGACTCTATACAAATTGATTATACTGCAAAGGTTAAGAAAAAATATTTTTTTAATATTCCTAATTAAAGTGCAGTATTAACATTCCATACTGCACATTAACTTGTGGGGGATTTTGTAATTTCTTGTGAAAAACTAAAAGACATGCAGTATTTAATAACTTTACTGCAGTTTAACTTGTAGGATGTTTTGTAGTTGCTTGTAAAAGACCATTTAGTTTACAATATTTATAAATTTTACTGCATATTAGTTAGTTTGCTCCATCCAATTCATACTACCTAAGATACTTAAAGTCAAATACTATTCCCTAATACTGCGTGTTAATAGGTAAAATTATTAAAATATTAAAACACAGGACAGGCAATATCGCGGTTTGAGGCAGTCCTTCTGTCTGTCTGTCTCAAGGATCTGTGGCTTAAGGCTGACTTGACATGCCATGCTGTGTCTGTACCAAAGAGATATGGAGGGTAGAACTAAGGAGAACTATTTCTCGTATAAAAAGTGACCGCTGACAAGCATTAAATTGGTGGCGCCACAGAAAACAAGTATATAAATCTATACATCTATACAGATAAATAAAGTTGTAGTGTCTGTTTGTAATGTCAAAATAAACCTTTTTACTAAATGCATATGAAATTATATACGGTACTTATAAGAAAAACTAATTTTTAAAATTTTTTGTCTGTCTGTTTGTTCCGAATAATCTCTGAAACGGCTGGACTGTTTTTGACGGACTTTCAGTGGAAGGTAACTGATGTTATAGGGAGTAATATAGGCTACTTTTATTTAAAAAAAAGAATTAGAGTTCCGCTCAAAAAAAAGTATCCAGGGACGAACCCGAGTGAGGCGAGGGTGAGTCGCTAGTTTAAAACATAACGTCATAAAAGTAAGAAGGTGAATTAAACAAGGAAAGAAAGATTTCCGCTTTGCTGTGGCACACTTTTCTAAATAGTTCTAGCATAGGCAAACAGTAATATAATTATATATTATTTTCAAGTAATAATAATTCAGCACACGTCACTCCGTTAAAAACTACTAACTTCACATCACATCTACTTGCTACGCTAGTGCTGTAAAGCCTAGTTCGCAATAAGCTAGTATTTTAGTCTAGTAGCGAGTAATTTAGTAGCTAAATTACTCGCTACTCACCAAAAATCGTTCGCACTTTGGTCGAGTACAGTTTACAAGTGAGTGGTGTTTTGCAAGATGAACAGCCTACAATGCAATAAAGTAAATAAACTGATTAAGCTGATCGTAACGGCTATTTTAGAAGAGGTGGATGAGGAAATTTGTGTGATTAATAAAAAGAAGCTATGGGTACGAAAATGGATCGAAAGACAAGATAAACTAGGAGCTACTAATTGTCTTCTGAAGGAATTAGCATTGGAAGATCCCAAAGAATACTTCGATAGTTTGAGAATGTCCGAAAGTTGTGTATATTTTCTGTTAATGAATGTTATGGCGGCAACTAATGAACTCGACTAATTCGACAGGTTCGTACTTGTTTAGCCGGTGAACCAGTGAACTCGGACGCGTGGTGGGGGCTGCAATTTGCCCAAAAAAATAGAATAAAATGGATTGACTCGACTAAATTACTTACTAAACTAATCGACTAAATTTTTAGTGTTCAGACACGTTTAGTTACTAACTTACTCGCTACTAGACTAAAATACTAGCTTAATGCGAACTAGGCTTAACGGTGAGTTTCTGAGCTATAATTTGCTGCTCACTACTGGACACTTTTTCAACCTGTTTCCCATATAAGTTAATTCTCCTTAGTTCTCCCTTCCATAATCTTTTCAGACTATTATTTTTGTAAGACAAGAATACTCATTTAGTAATTAGTTATGTTCAGAAGAAAGATTTTATGTAAATTTTATTGATTCATGCATGAGAAATACATGTGATATAGTTTTATAGAGGATTAACTAGTTAAGATTATCAACATCTTGTAAAGATTGTTATATTGTTAGTCATATAAAACAATTTACACTATTAGATTATAATGTACAATGTTTTGATGAATAGTTTTAATAGCATAGTCATAAATGCATGTCCAGTTTTGTTTAAGAAATTACATATTTTTATCAAAATTAAAGGTAATTTTATATTACTATAAGTGTGGAATATCAGTGTTTTGTTCAAAAAAACAGATTAAATAGCAGTATTTTCATAATATTACTGCACTTTAGTTAGTAACAATCATGGAAGAAATGTCTAAAATGCAGTAATAACAGGATTTACTGCATTTAAAACAGTTTTTGAAAAGATTATACAAATAAAGTGTGTGTAGTAATAGGGGCAAAAAAATTAAAATTGCCATAATTATAGTTTTTTATAAAAAAACTAACGTAACAATGTTTAGTATTTTAGTTTGGTACATATTCTTTCACTTTCCATTCAAGGTTTTATCGAAAAGTCTCTTTTTGATATATTCTTATGGATTCTAAACTTTAAGCGCGTTTTTCTCGAATTCGTGTTTTTGCTGTTACTGCACTTTAGGTTCGGGAGGGCAGTATGATGGTCCTTACTGTCTGATGGATCAATTATAGATGTAAGGCCGGTTTAAAACTAATTCGTTTAAAATGAAAGTGTTTAAAACCGAAATAAATCATTTTTTCGATTTAAAACGGGTGGTGTTGATGACTTTTTTTTTAATTATATGATTTTACCGAGGTGGGGATATAACGGAGTACCTATAAACTTTTATTTGTCATCCATGCTATAAACTGTATAAAGATTTTTTAGGTTATGTGTGATATACCGATATTGATTATTTAGCGGGTTTACTTCTAGTTGGTCCGTCCAACCATTAAGCGTAGGTATTACCTGCCTAAGTTATAAAAAGTATTGATAAGTTAAAAACTCTGTGTTGGTAAATAAACATTTTTTTCATTGTTTTCAAACGATATAAATAATCAATTTGATTCGGCATAAAACCAAACTCACACTCTCGCTCTCTCGTTGACGTCGTCACTCGTCACTCGTGACTCAACGCAACATTGCCACTTGCCGTCCCGAGGAAGTGTTCTGTGAACTTGCCAGCTCGCCTACCCTACACACACATTCCGATAGATAAAAATATAATATCTATTATCTATACATATAATAAAATTGTAACTGAGTAATCTTATTGAAATTAACATTATTATCGAAGCAGAGGTCGAATCTATAGATTTTAGAATTTTTGTCTGTCTGTCTGTTACCGCATCACAGAAAAACCACTGAAGGGATTTTGATGAAATTTGGGATGGTGATAGCTGGTTATCTGGGTCAACATATAGGGTACTTTTTACCGCGGGAAAACGTCTCATTTCTGAGAAAAAATACAAAAACTGCAATGTAAGAGTATACTAATATGTAAAACCGTAGAATTTGGTTTTTGTTCATCTGAACGCGGGCGGAGCCGCGGGCAATGCTAGTAATAAATAAGTGTAGGTAGGTATACCTACATACTTAAGTTTTCGTGTAGTAGGTATAGTCCAATTGGAATCTGGTTTAGGAACAAAATATTCAAAACCTGAAGTTTTAGGATTTCAAAACATTAGCAGTTATATATGGAATAGAAATTCGTAAAATGCCCCACATGCCCAGCTACCCCCGAGAAATGGGGGGACGCAAAGCGTTGAAAAAATATATTTAAAAAAATTAAGTTGATATTTAATATTTATATTTAAATTAATTGTTAAAAAATCATAAAAAATGAAAAAAATTAGGGGGTGACTTTCAGCCTCTCGAAACCATATAACATACTTTTCACGGAAATGGCTAAACATTTCATTTTTTTTTATTTATTATATATATTTGGAAGATTACATTCCCTTAGTTTCAAGAAAATCAAAAGATTATTCTAGACATGAACGAATGTCTCTAATTCGTCCATGATTCTAGAAATTAAAAATAAAAAATCAAGAAACAGTTAAAAAGCGAGATTTTTTCAAATATCTCGAAAACTTTGAGGTTATTGTAAAAAGTGGTCTTTATAAAAGTTGTAGATTTTTACTATTAGATTATAGAGAGATATAGAGAGGTCTAGTAAAAATCTACAACTTTTATAAATAGTTGTAGGCAACTTTTGTAGAAAACATTTTTCGATAGAACGTCACAGTAAGCCGGTAATTGAAAAAACTATTTTTCAACGCTTTGCGTCCCCCCATTTCTCGGCGGTAGCTGTGCATGTGAGGCATTTTACGAATTTCCATTCCTTATATACCTGCTAACATTTTAAAATCATAAAACTTCAGGTTTTCAATATTTTTTTCTCTTAAAAATAAACCGATTGGTCTAGTAACGTAACTATACAGTAGGTCTTTCTAATTTCTATTGATTTTCTATAAACAAATAAACCGAAACATGACGTCAGGTGACCAAAAATTGCCCACAATGAAGTGTAAAACACAGTTCTTTTATCTTTGTAGGCGAGTTTTCAACCGTTTAAAACGGCAAAATTTTATTTAAAACGTTTTAATTTTTAAATCGGTTGTTTTACATCTATATTATCAATACACAGCCTAAACGGCTGGTCATTGGTCGTAGAAACTAGAAACGTGAAATTTGGAGGTCATATTCCTTACCTATATGATGACAGATGAGTAGGCATCCGATAAGTATTTTTCGAAATTCATTCCATATGTGGGTAAAATAGGCGATTAAAGATTGTATCAAACTCTGTCATTCTCATTGTGAAATACACAGAAAGTGGTGTTTAAGTTTAAACATAAGAAATAGATTCATTACATTTTTTATAAATTCATCCCTTAATGGGGTAAAAGAGGGTAATTAAGTTTATATGGATAAATAATTATTTATGATCAGAATTACTTGAAACTTGGCATTAATGCTCTTCAATACAATTGAATAATTAATAATCATGTTTTAGCATTTGTCGAAATTCAATCCCTTAAGAGGGTAACATGAGGAGACAAAAGTTTGTATGTATATAATAATATTAGTTTAGAGGTAAAGTTTGTGAGTTTGTGATGTTGTAGAGGGTAATCTCTGGATCTACTGAACTGATTTACATGAAATTTGGTAAGATGATAGTTTGAGACCCTGGGAAGGACAAAGGATACTTTTTATCCCGTAAATCATCGAAGCGAGGGTGAGTCGCTTGTATGACAAAAAAGATCCAGTCAAGATCCAGATACAATCTTTTTTTTCTCCCTCGGATACGGTTAGACGACATTCGCGTAAATAACATGAAGCACTCTACAAGGACACTACATTGACATTTAAAATTTAGTATGAACACAAGGCTCCAGGGGCAGATTCCGAATTAATCGCCTTATAAGTAATTGTCATTTTGTCTGTATAAAATGTACAAGATAGATGGTACTAGATGAAATTAAAATAATGCTTGTTTGGTTCCTAATTGATCTTAGGATCTTAATTTTTTTATTTTAGGTTATTTTTTATTTTATAAATTCACAATATTAACCATTATTCTTAAGAGGGAGCCCGTTATATCTTAGGGGCCCTGGGCTGCAGCCCAAAAAGTCTACATATAGATCGGCCCCGGCAATGCTCTTCTTTTTAAAAAAATGTACTTGTTTTGGAGGGTTTATAATGGAAAATATAAATCATGATTAAACTATATTTACTAGGCATCGTTATAAACAAAAATAATTGCCAAATTCATCATTATTTGCCATTTGTATAGCCCTCCAGCATTTAATATATACAATAGTCACTGATTCACGTCAGTTTCATTGGGGTAAATGAGGTTTACTAAATGGTTATAATTATTATAACGCAGCATTTAGAAATAACTTTGCATTATTGATTTCATTTTATTTGTCTAGGGTCTTATATTTAAATAGAAAATTTCATTAGTGACAAAAGAAAATCATGTAGCTATTAACTTACTATCATCTTGTATTTCTGGAAGCTATATAATACATTAAATTTAAAACTTTACATTATGTTTATAAAACAGATACAGTATTAAATACATGTAGTAAATAGCATTAACTAATATTTACAAGTCCTTGAAACAACTATACACTTTATTAAATTAATAATAATTTAACATATTGGATAAATGGACCAGCAACAGTGCTAACACTCGTTTTTTTTTAATTTTTTATTTTCAGTCACTGCATCTTCCAATTTATTTATCCTCTTCATTTTGATAAATGAATTACTGTCACTTTCACTAACATTCTGCCGAACACAGTTCACACTGGAAACATTTTGATTATGTACACCATATTTTTTATCACTTAGGGTTTTACTCTTATTTACTATATAAGTATTATGAATGTCTTTAACTAAGTCAGTGTGCACTTTAATAGGTATAAGATTATCACCTTTCGGTTTGATTTGCATCACAGATCTATTTTCACTGTCACTAGTGAGTCTTATCATTCTCTTTCTCGCATGAATTGTGTCAGAAGTGTCAACAAAATTTCGTTTAACTAACATTTCACCAGTCGATGTTTGTTTTACATAAATAATGGGCCCGTCTGCATCTTTCAAATCACATTTTTGTATTTTCAAACTTGTTGAACCTTTGTTGTCAGCATCTGCACCATCTTCTTGTTGTTCTTCAGTTTCAACCAAAACACCTGTAAAAAATGCTGTATTAAAACAATATTCAATAACTTTTTTTTATCATTCTCAATTTAAAAAAAAAAATAATCACCACTTTGTCCTACAATGCACAGGGCATTGGTATATCTATACTAATATCATAAAGAGGTAAAGTTTGTGAGTTTGTGACATTGTAGGGGCTAATCTTTGCATCTACTGAACCGATTTAGATGAAATTTTGTAAGATAGTTTGAGACCCTGGGAAGGACATAGGATACTTTTTATCCCGGAAATCATCCCTTAAGGTGGTAAAAAGGGGGATGAAAGTTTGTATGGGGAATCAAGCTAGGGACGAACCTGAGCGAAGCGAGGGCGAGTCGCTAGTGTATGTACATATGTATTTGTAAAATCTTACTCATTTAAAACATGATCCACTTTTTATATTGGAGTTTATAAAGTTGGGAAGTTCAAAATCTATACTTGTACAAACAAGGATTTGGGACTATTGTAATTTGGTTTACACTCTAAATTCTGCTAAGAACACATGTATCTATAAAGTTGCTACTATAGAAAGTTCAAGTTAGTACAATTTATACAAATAAATAAAATTGAAGTGTCTGTTTATAATGTCAAAATCGCAGGTTTTTAATAAATACCTATGGAAGTATAATTACACTTATTTTTTTTAATTTTTGTGTCTTGTCAGTTTGTTCCACCTAATCTCTGAAACGGTACAACAGATTTTAACGGGAATTTCACTGGCAGATAGCTGATGTTATATGGAGTAACTTAGGCTACTTTTATCTTGGAAAAAGCACTAGGGTTCCGCGCAAAGAAATTAAATTCCTTGAAATTGTGGCCAAACGCCGCGTACTTACGGACGCACCTGAGAGAAGCGAGAGTAAGTAACTAATTTTATTATAAAATGAATAATTACCATTTAATGTAGGAAACTTAATATCAGGTAAATGTAAATGCGAGTCTGGATTATATTTGTGCATTAATGTTTTTAGTAACTTAGAAATTTCTTCACGTTTCCGTGTTACAACTATTTCATCAAACCAGTTTGCTAGTTGTTTAATTGGCAGTGTGTAATCAGAAACAGGATCCTGGAAATATAAATATTGTAAATAATAGGACAGAGAAATAGAACATAGTAACATGATAAAAAAATATATAATTACCTTAAAAAATTGTTCAACATATTGTAATAAATACAATCCACAGTCAGTGAAATTATTTTGTTGTGGTATTTTGGGGCAACTCCCTTTCATATTATCTTTATTAAAAATTTTGCTTTTTGAGATCTGTAAATTTAAAAAAAGATTTCATATGTCTGAAGAATCAAAATAATGAATAGTGAGTATAGTTTGTTTATATACCTTTGCCTGGTATTCACATGTGAGATAGTCACGTAACGTCGCTACAACTCTTGACCTAGACGCACCCGCTAGCGAGTCAAATATTAGTATACATGGCCTGAAATTATTTTATACATAGAATTTGTAAATAGAAAAAGCAATAATTATAACATAAAAACTTTATATTTTAAAATTTTATGACAAAATTTTTGTAGCCTTACTGTTTTATTGGATCATTTTTTTTAATTAAAGGTATTTCTGGTTTTTTCTCTGGTTGTTTTTCTGTTTCTTCCTCATCTGAGTCACATTGCATATCTAAGTCACTGTCCTAAAATTAAAAATGATTTGATGACTTAAATTATTATACAATACACCATACCATGGGATCAAGTAAGTGTAATTTCAAGAGTAAAACATATATTTATGACAATAAATTCTATGATAAGCAAACACTGAACTAAAGTTTCTTACCTCTGCTTCAGCTTCATCCCTTTCACTAAGATTGTCCGAATCACAATTTAATGTAAGCTGTTCTTGTTTCGTTAGAGGTGTTATTGTTGTACTACCTATTTGCATTGAAGATCTTCTTTCTAAAATAACAAAAATATTATTACTTATTACTAAAATAAAATTGTTTTTGAATTAAAGTCAAAAAAGTTAGTCACTATGTTTATGATTTAGAAATATGAAAATTTATATGAATTTTTATTTTATAAGATTTAGTAAAAAATTATAAAAAAACTGATGTTGTTCTACCTTTCTTTTTATTCTCTTGAGGAGTAACAGTTCTATTATCTATCATACTTCTGCATCCATCTAAGCTAGCATAACAAATGATGGCCACAAACCAATGACAATTTTCATTAATAGGAACTACAATAAAGTCTTTCTCAAAAATGTTCACATTCTTTGTCCAAGTTTTAACTCTCGCATGTCGTTTCTGAGCTGGTGTTAAACTACTGTCCCATTCATGAGGATTTGAATTTCTGTTCACTTTACTTGGTTTCGTAGTCAGCCTTTTATAAAAGAAAGTGCTAAAAATGTGAGTCTTTTCTCTCTGAATATGAGTTAAAATATCATGAACTAAATATTTTAAATAAAAGTCAATAATGACATCATTTAAAAATTGATCTTGAGCTAGGCACATGTAATCTTCTGTATTTATAGGAATTCCACCTTTGCCAGGTGGATATATTAAAATTTGACGAATTTCAGCAGGATTAGAACTGAAAAAAAAAAAAATATTTAGGAGCATTTTTGTGAATGAAGTAAGCTAATTTAAGGTATATTAATTACTTATAAGTAAAAACTGGCTTGATGTCTTTAATTTAAAGTTTTGTAGCTTATTCTTTTCATTGTCCTAAAAGCACATTTTATTTGGACAATTATATATTAATAGAGTAAAATAATTTCCAACATGATTATCACTTGTCTTAGCAAGAAGGAAAACATTGTGATGCTATCTGCACATCTAAGAGAAACCAGCAAGTTTTGGAAAGACATGTAGAGTCCGACAACCTGAAATGGTGGCAGTGTGGTGGACTTTGGCCTGATCCCCCTCATATTTAAGGGAGGCTCGTGCTCAGCAATAGGACATCAAAAAGAGCTGAATACAATATATACAGACAACAGACATTTTATTACATTTACCTTTTTGGTCCAGAAGAAATGGAAGCACTCATTGATTTGGTAGTTAATTTTGAAACATTATTACTTTCTTTAGGACATGTCCTGACAAGAATTTCATTTGCTTCTTTCACATTTAACTCATCTATTGCCTTATGAAATAATGTTTTTAAGGCAGCTTTTGTTTCATCTGTTATTACTTCAGGTAACAGGGTTATTCTTTTATAAGGATCTTCATCAGACGTAGGATTATAATATAGACCTGTTGATCATTTTCATGTTTAATGTTGATGCACATAACACCACAAAACTAAGAGCAGTATAAAACTATATTATCTTGTTTATAAGTAGCCTAGAATGTGTTTATTCTTGTGGAAAAACTTAATATATTAAAATAAAGTATTCTTTAAAAATAAGTTTTAATCTAAAATACCAATAAACAGCAAAATCAACTATTTACAAAAACAACAGAGATTGATTACTAACCTGATTCCTCCACCATATCTAAAGCTTTTCTTATAAAAATACCACATTTGTTCATAGTATACAAAAAAATAACAGGGAGGCCTTTACCAAAATGTACTAATATTTTAACTATTTCTTTAAATTGGATTTGAATAGCCACATCTTTTGACTCATTTTTCAATGATGGGGCAACAATTTTTATTCCTTTTACTGATATGTGTACCTAAAAATTGAAAATATATGATTAGAGAATATTATTACATCTATGAATTCTACAAACTGCATTAGTTATAAAGTTAATTCTCACCTTTTCTTTTGGTGTATACCTGTATGAACCTATTCTGATAGTCCTACAATTAAGAAATGCTTCAATACCTTGCAGTGCTGGAGAAATTTCATCTCTACTGGCTTCTGGAAAAAGAAATAGTAAAGTTAAAAAGTTACATTTAAAGACTAAACTGTACATGAAAATAGTGTGGAACAATCAGTTTTAAACTCAGTTGTGTTGAAAAAGAAATATATGAGAATAATACTTTCTTAGATTTACGCGAATATTTGACATCTTATTTTTTTTTTTTTTTTTTAACGTTGGGAAATGCATTTACGCACGACGTGTGGGACTCACCGGCGTAATACAGCCAGTACTATCCACTAAAACCCAACAAAACTTTCCCCCGTCTTAATGGGGCGTCGCAGGATCGCTTACGCATTCAACTACGACGCCCCGACGGCAGGTCTGCCAAAGCAGACCACCACAACCTTGGGGTTGCTCCAAGGTCCACTCTGCTATCAGAGAAGTACCAGGAGCAACCCGCAAGGTACACCGCCCCCCGAAGAGGGCCACCTCCCACCGCCCACCGAAGTGGGCAACCTCCCTGTGCGTTTCTTAGCTTCGTACTACTACTACTGAGCCCCCCCACCACGACAAGGTGAACGCGAATATTAATTATTTAAGCCATATAATTGTTCTATTTGTAATTTAAAAAGTTAAAATTAATTAAGGATAATAATTTTAATTTAGTTTGCTATTATTTAAAAACAACTTACTAAGCAACACTATTAATATATACTTTTACAAATGAAAAATATTAATCTGAAATGCTGTCATTTTGATTCCCACAGTAAGAACTTACTACATTTATCTGTCTGTTATGTTTAGATTTATTATTTGATTTTATAATATTAATAAATAAAATAAATTATTATGGCTTAAATAATTAATACTATATTTTATATTTTTCTTTATGGTTATAAATATAATAATGGCAACACTAAATATAGATTACTAATTAATATTTTAAAATTGTAATAATTATAAAAATAATAGCAAAAATTAAATAAATAATTTTCCATATTCAATTATAATTAAAATTATAAAAATGTTTAAAGTTAAAAAATATTGTAATGTAATTGGTGCAATTTTCATTTTGTTAATTGTGGGTAGGCTGTCTGTAACAACTATACATTCAAGACATGTAACACCTCTGTCTCTCCCGTGACCATGGATGCTGTAAAGCATTCGAAACGTCGGGAAACAAAAATGCAAATAAATCCGCGACCAAATCCGAAAAGATAGTTTTATTTAAAATATATGAGAATATAAAAACAACACTACTTATAATAAATAATTTACAATAGCAAGATATTATAATTATTTGTCTTGTTTTTATGCAGAGACTGAATTAAAAAATATTATACACCCTAAATCACTCTCAAGTTTGGTATCAATTTAGCACCTCAATGTTCAAATCTATCAAGTAGCTTAGACTACAGACATTTAGATAGAACACATTTATGGTATTTAGATATACATCAGTGCCTAAAATAAATTAATTAAATTTTAATTAAGGTGTCAACCAAAATTTCATAACAATGTGTATTGGAAATTTTTGAAAATATAAAGACGTCTTCATATTAAATAATTTTTATAAAAAATAATTCAAAATTGAATATACATAAGATTAATATATATATATATATATATATATATACACGCAAAATAGGCACATAGTCGTCGAGTTGCGGAAAACAGCCCGAACATACCATACCATACATAAGATTTATAGAAACATTTATAAAATTTAAGTCGGCATTGGTCGATCCGCGATCGATAATACTTACAATGGTAAAGCAGATTTTAAGTATTAAACACTACAATAAACTTCAGAAGTTTGCAAATGTACAAAATCGAAAAATAAATACCTTTAAAAGTACTGTAATTCCTGAATTTTGGCATTTTTGACCAATATTTATAACGCATTACACACGAGAACCACCATGACAATTGACAGCGAGCGCATCTGCGCTGTGCATAAAGCATAGATTATAAACGACTACTGAATAGTGTTGTCGAACAGTCGACTGCCATCACAAACATTGATGTTTTAAAATCGATGTTACAATGTGGTAAGTTTTCAATTTTTTAAAATAAATTGTTAAATGATATATTATTTATTCTAATTTTAAATAATATTATTTTATATTAACATAGTGGAAGAGAATTTTTAAATTTATTTTTTACTAGCAGTACCCGCGGCTTCGCCCGCGTTCAAAGTTTCAAACTACTAAAAAGCAAACTCTTTGGCTTTATAACTAATAATAATTTGATGGTTGTAATGATTTTCATGTGTAAGATTTTAACTCGTGCATCGAGGGTTCCGTACCGCCGAATATTAGGTTGTTTTCAACTGACTTCCTTAAAAATGAAAAGGTTCTCAATACGGCTGTATGTTGTTTTTTTATGTTTGTAACCTCAGAACTCCATCATTTGTTAACCGATTTAGACAATTTTGGTTTTGTTTGAAAGTGTATACTTCTAGATTGGTCCCATTTAAATTTCAAAAAAAAATACCACCCCATATGTTTGGAAAAATAGCTAATGATGAATTTAAACTACTTCTAATTGTCATATTGACTTGAAACTTTGCAAGTGTGTTTATTTCTGTTGATAGTGCAGTGTTTATCTACATTGAAAAGAGAAAAATAAAAACTTTTTAACAAAAAAATATAAAACTATCTTTTCGGATTATTTCGCGGTTTTATTTTGATTTTTGCTTCCCGACGTTTCGAATGCTTTACAGCATCCATGGTCACGGTAGAGACTGAGGTGTTACATGTCTTGAAGGTATAGTTGTTACAGACAGCCTACCCACAATTAACAAAATGAAAATTGCACCAATTACCTTACAATATTTTTTAACTTTAAACATTTTTATAATTTTAATTTGTTTTATAATTGAATATGGAATATAATTTATTTAATTTTGCTGTTATTCTTATAATTATTACAATTTTAATAATATTATTATTTTAACAATATTTTAAGATATGAACATCTAATAGGTAAATATATATTTTACGTATCGAAATTAGATTTGCTTTGCATCGGCTGGCACCGACTTCGAAAATATCTGATTAGGTATCTATTCTAAATGAAAACCTCCGTTTAGTTATTTTTTACATTTTAGTGCCTGAAAGTCGGTTTTTATTTTTTGTTAAAACGTTTTTTTCTACTCCATGTTTCCTAAGTTAGAGGAAGAGAGTGCAATGATATAACTCGCATACAATGTTTACGACTTTAGAATCATGTAACTTGGCTAATATGGCCTTTTTAACTAATAGGCTTATTTTAGCCTTAAATTTATAGTCTCCATCCTTTTTAAGTGAAAATATAAAGTGCCATTCTTTTTAATATCTTTCTGCCTTCGGCTTCACACGTATGGAGTAAAAAAATGCTCAGTGTTATTTTCCATTGAATTTATATGTTGTCATAGCGAATTTGTAATATTATGTGTACATTAATGTAATCACTCTAGATTCACTTAACTTAGTCTGCGCTAAAAAATCGCGAACAGGAAATTAGTATTAAATTACGAACTTCTTTGTATACTACATTGGCGGCTATTCTGTCTGGTTCTGCAAAAATACCATAGGAGAAGCAATCCTATCTTAAATCTATGCCTCCTATTTGTAACGATTGCTCCTGAGATTTAGTAATGGTCATTGCAAAGCAAACATTATGGGGAATTACAATATATTTCAAAGGCGTAGTCAGAGATTATCAATGGCATTCGAGGCATGAATACTGATTCCCCCCGTGGCCACTGTAATGTTTTATGGATAGCTCGCAGTCTAGTCCCGTTACATTGCTTAGGTGGCTTATATAAATGTGCCAGCCTTCAGAAGGAGCTTATCAGAGAAGAGGAAAGGAGGACTGGTGGGTAAAGCGTTAGGGAACTTCACATGATAGTAAACTGTTTCATTCATTTACATCATTGAATCGACAGACATATATTCTATTTCTGATTGTTCGAAGACTTAAGCAGGATTTTATTAAAAGCAGTAGCACTGTTGATTTTGGGGCTTAGTGTAGCACGTTCACAAAACCAAGCCACGGCTTTCTTTGTATACCTATTAGAAACATCAGGATACACTAGCTAGGTTTTCTCTCTCGAGCGCTCTAGGTTTGTTATAGTTGTCACCGGCCAGCCGAGAATTTGTTCCTAATTTTGCCTTGGATTCAGAATAATATCCGTTCTCTATGTTATATCTCACTAAACAAGTGAGCACTTTTGGAGAACTTGAACTATGTTACACTATTTAAATATATTTCGTATATGAAATTTAACTCAGATGAGATTTAGCGGGAGTTTAAACGTAGCGTAAGACGTTTTACCACCTCTACAAGTGCAGTAGCATTTCCAGATGAAGCCACAGCTAATTTAATCCTCCGATTAAGTACTTAGTAAAGTAAAGTAATTTGGCCAAACGCAATTTTAATTAAAAAAAACCTTTTTTAATTAATCGCCAATACCATTAACGCTGATTTTTAAGTCAACTCGAACTTTATTAATTGCATTTTCTGAGAAAATTTACCACAGTAATGTATATTTTTACACTATCAAAAAGTAGAGATTTCAAGTAACAAAAAACCCACTGACTTTTTTAAAAGACAGATATTTTGACGCGAGAATTTTCGATTGAAAATGTGGGTGCTTGTTCGATGTTAACTCAAAATAAGGTGAAAAAAATAAACATTTAAAAAATAGAATAACTTACCATCCATGTTATCAATTCCACCGCCGTCTGAACTGCCGCCTTCAATTTCACTTAGGGAAGGTTCCTTTGTGTTAACCAGTTGTTCTTGCTATATAAATAAAAATTCAAAATTATATTTCTTTTAATATTTATATTCTTCTATGTTTTTATATTCTTTACACTGTGCGAAGTGTTACTCAAGTTAAGCAAATACAACATTATTATTGAAAATTATTATTGACAATTATAATAACTAATATCCATTTAGTTTACTTATATATTGAATTATATTATTTGTCCATTTATATTTCATTTTTATACAATATTATATTTTAATCTAATTTTTAATTTTATTCTCTTGCTTATGTACATACATATTACGTTTACTAGATTAAACGGATGTATTGCGATTAGTGCATTACGACTTCGTACTAATAAAGAAAATTCCTTATAATATACTAGCGGACCCGACAGACGTTGTCCTGTCTACACGTCTTTAATTTGAAAATTTCAAACTTTTTTTAATAATTTTTTTGATGAAAATTATTATTCAAATTGTGAATCTAAACCATTCCCAGATCCCCTTGAACACATACAAAAAATTTCATCAAAATCGGTCCAGTCGTTTGAGAGAAGTTCAGTGACATACACACTCACAGAAGAATTATATATATAAAGATAAGTAAAACAAAATATTGTCTTACGGCGATGAAAAACCATCGTAAAGAAACCTGCACGTGTGAGAGGACCTAGCAAGTTTACGAAAGACATGTGAAGTCCGCCAACCCACAGTTGGCCAGCGCGGTGGACTGCGGCCTCATCCCCCGAGTATGGAAGGGAGGCCCGTGCCCAGAAGTGGGACGTTAAAAATGGTTGATTACAAACATACTAAATAAATAATTTGTAAAGGCGATGCTTACATGGTGATTAAATATTGAACTATTTGAGTCTTCCTCGTCGGAACTTAAAGTTAATATGACTGGTTCAGGATCAGGCTGCTTCCCTCTAGGCTTCCGTACTCTCGTTGGTTTTTTGTCTTGAACGACCTATACAATACACATAATAATTATTATTATAAAATATTATACGAACATTTATGTTACTACACATTATTTATGTTTGTTTCAATTCACTTGTCTCTGGATTTATTACCACTCGGAATTAAAAACAAAATCGTCCCACCAGGTGCATATAGCATACCAATCTAAAAAATCACGTTTTAAGTATTTCCTTCTTTTTTGAAGTTGGTCATTAACTTAGAGAAGCTGAGCGAGGAGCACTCCAGTAGACAGTACCCAAGAGACACACTGGGAGATGGCCCACTACGGTGAGTTGTGCATAGGAGTGTGCGAATAATTCGAAAACTCGAATTATTCGATTCGAACGATATTCGCACACATCTAGTCGTGTACCACGCGGGTCGCTCGTGGCACGTCTGCTTCAGCATACAGCCGTCGGAGCGCGGTGGTTGAGTGCGTAAGTGACACTGCGACGCCCCATTAGAAGAGGGGAGGTTTTACTGGGTAGTACTGGTTTCTCTAGCCGATGAGTCCCACATAACCAACCACCTATATGTATATAGGCGGTATGCATAAATGCATTTCCCAACATAACAAAAAAGGAATACTCCAGTTATTCTATTTGTCATGTTTTATATTATAATGATTATTATAAGTCTTATGGTTAAAATAAAGATACTTACATTTTTATTATTTAAATTTTTAACTGTTGTCTTCAATAAATTCAGTTTAATACCATCTGGTGGGCTAAAAAAGGTGTACACATTAATAAAAATAAATTAAGATACACTATACTAATAATATACTTAGTATATATTATAAGTTATCAAGTTGATAAACTAATCTAATCATATTAAGGCTTTTATTGATAAACATACCAAGGGCACGTTAAAATTATTAATCACATAATTCGACTTATTCATACTAAAGCTTAATTTGATATCCATATAATTCATACTTACATTTGCTTTTCTAATATTAATTTTTCAGGTTCTTTTTTCTTTTGTTCTACCTTTTTACTTGCAAGGACACTTTTTGGTTCTTCAGTAAATACTCTTTTACATCTGTAACGAAAAGCTTAATTACAATTGAAATTTTGAGTATAACCAATAAAATAGAGTCTTAAATTAAAAATAGTAAATAGTCTTTAATTTAAGTATATAAATAAAAATGAATCACCAAAATGTATGTACGCGTATAACCTCGGATCGACTGCACCAAATTGGATAATTCCTTCTTTTGTGTTTTTTATTGTAAGGACAAGTTATGCGTAGAAGAAAATTAAAAGATTTTTTTTACTAAAATAAGATTTTTTTCTAACCTCATGATAGGAAAAGTGAGTGAGTGAAATAGTTTTCTGAGCGAAGCGATGGTGAGTCACTAGTAATATAACAAGTAAAGTTCTTTAAATTGTAATGATTTTTAAAATATTACAAATACATATAATATTACAGTATGTATTTAAAAAGTAATTGTAAAAATAAAATTAATATGATAAATATTTTATAATATATAGTATATACATATGATGTAAATACATAGTATACTCCCAAAAGGTTTTCAGTAAATTAAAAATGACACTGTATATATATATATATATATATATATATATATATATATATATATATATATATATATATATATATATATAATAGATTTTGAGTATAACCAATAAAATAGAGTCTTAAATTAAAAATAGTAAATAGTCTTTAATTTAAGTATATAAATAAAAATGAATCACCAAAATGTATGTACGCGCATAACCTCGGATCGACTGCACCAAATTGGATAATTCCTTCTTTTGTGTTTTTTATTGTAAGGACAAGTTATGCGTAGAAGAAAATTAAAAGATTTTTTTTACTAAAATAAGATTTTTTTTTAACCTCATGATAGGAAATATATAATATTACAGTATGTATTTAAACAGTAATTGTAAAAATAAAATTAATATGATAAATATTTTATAATATATAGTATATACATATGATGTAAATACATAGTATACTCCCAAAAGGTTTTCAGTAAATTAAAAATGACACTGTATATATATATATATATATATATATATATATATATATATACTAGCATTGCCCGCGGCTCCGCCCGCGTTCAGATGACCAAAAACTAAATTCTTAGGTGTTACATATTAGTATACTCTTACATTGCAGTTTTTGTATTTTTCCTCAGAAATAAGATATTTTCCCGCGGTAAAAAGTATCCTAGGATCGCGCGCTACATCGCCCGGTTTATATAGCTTGAGCAGGCGGTCGAGCGATGCGGGGCAGAGGGGATGGACTCGCCGTAGGCATCTCAATGCTCGCCAAGCATTAAAAATGTTTCGCTACTAATTACTTCTAACAACGATATCTCAAAAACTATTCATCTGATTGATTTAGTGTAAAGAGCAATTTTAATCTGCATTAAATGACTAAGCTAACTAAAATATTCATTTGGATAAGGATTAATACCGAACTAAAGAAAATAACTTTGAAAATAACGTAATGTTTTTAATTAAAAATGTTAACATAAAAGTGGTTATTGTAAGTCAACCGTAAGAGATAGAGATATGCTATCGCGGACTTTTTTGTAGCATTTTTATAGATTTTGAATTCTCTAGTACATTACTTAACTGTATCTTTGCTAGTTTACGCGGCGTTCGCGTGGAAAGTTCCCATTTGGCGAGATTTTTTGCGACCTCTTCAACATTTGTCGCCGTATTTCAGCTAATTTACATAAAACATAATCAATTATATACCTAAACCTTCCTCAAGAATTACTCTTTCTATTGTTGAAAACCGTATAAAAATCCGTTCAGTAGTTTTCGAGTTTATCGCGTACAGACAGACAGGAGGACAGACAGGAGGACAGAAAGACGCGGCCGGGGGACTTATTTTTATAATAAGTATAGATATAGATATATATATATAATAGATTAAGAGTGCATTATTAATATATTTCTTCCATGTTTTGACCTATTTGCAATTCTTGTGCAATGGAAATTAATTAATACAATTGTATCATAATATTTTTCATCAATTGAAATCAAATCATTATTTTTTCAATATTCCATAATTATTTTTGTTACATTTTGGCGTATCTAGGGGTAGGTGCGTCACTACCTTATAAAAGTAACTTCCGTCCAGTCGACTTAAATTGATGATATTATATATAATATTAGATCAAGTGTGCAACCGTCGTTTATTTACAGGAATTGAAATTGAAAGGAATACAGAATGCATTTGTGCGCGCGCACATATTCTTGTGCACAATAATATCACCTGTGTAGAGTAGGCTTGTCTCAGTGAGATTGGCTACTGTGGCCACATCGGTCGGAAAGACATTGCTTATTCATACAGTTATGCCATGCTATGTGAGGCCTTGAGGGCTCATCTAACCCTAATTATATAACTTCATAAAACTCTGTTATTCTTAAGTTTAAATAGACAATCTGTCAAAACTTAAAGAAACACCGACCCACTGACCACCATCATCTTAACAAAAAGACTCTATAACTAAAATTGACTCGCGACTTGAAGCCAATACCTCTAGATCTACAGTCGTGCTAGTAAATCACTGACCACCGACCACCACTACACTACTACACTACACCACGACCACCACTGACAACTGACCACCGAGGCAGTTAATCTATACTAATATTATAAAGAGGTAAAGTTATTGAGTTTGTGACGTCGTAGGGGGTAATTTCTGGATCTACTGAACTTATTTTGATGAAATTTGGTAAGAAGATAGTTTGAGACCCTCGGAAGGGCATAGGATACTTTTATCCCGGAAATTTTATCTCGGAAACCAGGTATTAGTAAGTGTTGTGTGTATAGTATACTATATAGTCACCGTTCACATCGGCTGAAGTCGTAGCCGGTGTAGCCGCACAGCTTGCACACGGCCAGCATGCCCTCCACGTAGCGCGGCGGCGGCGAGCGCTGCTCGGGCGACGGCGGGCTGTTGTTTACTGTTACACATATATTGAATTTGTCATTTTTAAACCAAATTTTTAAAAAAGGAGGTTAGTTGATGTGTAACATCTTTCCTCTCGTTTTCCTGCAATTCAATCGTGCGTGGTAGTAATTTCGTGAAAAGGGACAGTGTGAAGTGTGTAATAGGAAGCCAGGGAAGCGCGCGCTATTTTTATTTAAGCACTCATACGATATGGATATCGAATGAAAAGAAGTTTAAATTCTTACGAACGTTGGTACCGAAGTACACGCAAAGTTTTATTTTTTATTTTGAGATTAATTTCTGTCGCTGCTTAATTAATATTTTTAATTTTGATTAAAAAAAAACTAATTAATTATGTAATAACTAGTATGATGTAGGATTGACAGAAAGCTATTCTTCCAAATTTCTCCTATTTATTCTTGATTTTTCTTCCTTATTGTTGCTCTGTTAAAAACCACAGTCCAACTGATACAAGTGTACCCCTTAACCCTATTATTTGTATCACTTATGTATCACCATCGATATTCCCTTATGTATCACTTTCTTATATAAATAAAAATATTTTACATAACAACAATCACAAAAAAGTTTCTAGAACAAAAATTTAACCATACAGGTTTCTACATTTCCCTTTTACAATTTTGCTCATATCTTCTAAACGGGTTATCCGATTTTCATAAATCCAATTGAAATATTAGTTCTAGTCCTAAACCTATCTTTTGAGACTAAAATTATTGAAATATATCTACAAACAAAAATTCTTATTTTCAACTGACGTAATTATACAAAAATTCTAACATTCAAAATTATTTAAACTTACTTTAGTCAATCTAATTAGACTACAATAGGAAAACATAATATAGAAGTTAAATAGTCTTATTAGAGTAAAATTTGCTTGTTTTTTATTTAACCCCCGACGCAAAAACGACGATGTGTTTGACGTGTCTGTGTGTGTCTGTCTGTGGTATCGTAGCTACCGAACGGATGAACCGATTTTGATTTTGTTTTTTTTTGTTTGAAAGGTGAATTAGTCGGAAGTGTTATTTTCTTCTTTTTAAAATTTTTAATTTAATTTATTTTAATTTTATACTTTGTCTATTGTGAAACAATTTTGTTTTTCTTTTAATAAATACGCAAATAGTGGCGATATTCGTCTACGTTTTCCGTTATAAAATTATTATTTATAAATAACTCGCTGTGGTTTTGATCAGACAAAGAAATATATGTTTTTAACGAAATGTCCAAGTTTGTCCAATTTAAGGTATGTAAGTCAATGTCTGATATTGTAAGTAAAATCTCTCATTTTGGCTATAATTCCCACATGCTCAATGAAACCGAGACGTCCAGTGCAATAGGTAGCTCCAATAAAGTGATAGTAATACTAATAAAAACAAATTTTTAAGAAAATTTTATCATCTTCATAGTCTTAATGCTTAAAGAAACTAAAATTCAATATTTGTTATTTATTAAAAAAAGATACGAACCATTTTCAGGGCACGGCCCTTTTTCTGGAGTTGATATTTCACTATTTGGCGGTTGTGATAATACACTTGGGGAACTTCTACTACTAATATCACCAACTAGCATCTGTAATAACATAAAAATGTATTAGAATATTTTTATTATATATACAACTAGCAGCACCCGCGGCTTCGCCCGCGTTCAAACTACTAAAAAAACAAACTCTTAGACACACCGACAGCAGCGCCACCTACTGGGTCCAATTATGCTTTCAAACCATCCAGGAGTCCATTGAAATACACACACAAAATTTCATCCAAATCGGTACAGTCCTTTAGGAGGAGTAAGATGACAAATGATTCGTACACAAACATACCAATGGTGCGAGACCCGGGATTTGAACCCGCTTCACCAGGTTTCCCAAGCGAGTGCGTCACCACTGGGCTACAACTGCCTGCATGTTTCACATGCAATGTAAATATAATAATACTAAAATGTAAATACTCCTCATATACTTACTGGATGGTTTTCTAACATCTCCTCAATCCTCGTAGTGGAGCCTACAGATACAAAGTAATCTATTTCACTACTAGTATTTTGCATACACTGTATATTAGTTTCTTCCGTAAAAGGAACATTGACCTGAAACAAATACATATGAAAGGATATATAAAGGTTTTTTTTAAAAGAAGTGTGGTTAATTCTTTAAATTTTTAGCTAATGATTTATTTAAATTGGTAACTCGTATCAGTAAACTACAAAGTATCAAGTAAATATACACTTCTACACTATACTATTATAAAGAGGATTTGTATTTTTGTATGTTTGTAACAAATATTCCAAAAACTATTGGATCGATTTAGATGAAATTTGGTAAGAAGATAGTTTCAGACCCTGGGAAGGACATAACATGTTTTTTATTCCTGAAATTATCCCTTAAGGGGATGAAAGTCTGTATCGGAAATCAACATAGGGACGAACCCGAGCGAAGCAAGAGTGAGTCGCTAGTATACTACATTTTTGACTGTTGCATTGCATACTTTATTTTTAAGACAGTCATTGGTATATTTTCAATAAGCGATAAGTATCATATTTAGCTAAGGAAAGGCAAGTTAAATTATCTAATTTTCTCTCCACATGTGCACTTTATTAGGATTACCATACTCTTCAAAACATGGTCGTATTTCAAATTGTGCAGTTTTTTTTTCGTATAATTCCAAAACTACTACACTATGAGGAGAATTAAATATTTTAGTATAATACTGTACTGTTGAAAATTTCATAACTTGTATTTGTATTTAAAATTTAAATTCTCAAATAACTTTTTGAATCAATGCTTTACAGGAAAGTCCTCATGTGAATTTTTCTTTGCAGTTTTTGAATGATATGTATACACATTATCCACATTATACCATTTACCGTATTCATTTATTAAAACTTTGATACTTAATTTTGAATAAATGAGGCATAATAGGCATTATCAACAATGCTTAATTTTTTGAATAACCATTCTAAGCGATTCTTTATGAAAATCATACCTGCTCTAAGACTTCTTGTAGCGTACAGCTTTCCTTAGGTAATGTAAACGTAATGAGTCTTTGTTCTCCATTTTGTAAAAAAATTAACATTTTAGCAGATTGCGGCTCAGATGTTTGTTCTGACGGCCCGCTGATAGCCTCATTATTTTCTGTAAATTAAATTTTCTGTAAATTATAAATGTTAAAGTGTGTAATAAAATTTGTATGCAAACATGCTATTTAATATAAAAGTATTTTAATTGTCTTTCAATATGTTACACAAGCATCATTGTTGTACAAACTATGATCATCAAATCCATGGGAATTTTATATTTTTATGGATTTAAAAATATAATCAATATTTTTGTGTTAAGTTTCATTTTAATAAATGTACGTTGTTACATACTAGCTGTACTGAGACATTGTTCTGTTTAAATTTCAAGAAATTACACGACAGACAGACACGTTTGGCTCAGTTGGTAGTGACCCTACTTGCTGTGCCAGCGGTCGCGGGTTCGAGTCCCGCTGGGGGCATTCATTTGTGTGATGAGCACGAATGTTTGTACTCCAGTCATTTATTTAAAGTTATTTATGTGTAGTGTATCAACTATCTGGTATCCATAACACAAGCCTCGTAGCTTACCATGGAACTAGATGGCGCTGTGTGTTAATGTCCCATCATTTATTATTATAATTAGCAGTACTTAAAAAAATGTTAGATTAGTCCAGCCATTCTCAAATGATTTACTTGCTAACAAACATCATTTAATTATTATTTATATATAACTTAACAGAATACTTTTCTCAGTGAATTCAATGTTTAATTCGTTTCACTTTCATATCACCCATTGTACCTCTTAATTTTTTTACCTCTCTATAGACATTATATACTAAAGATGGATCACACACCTGGTAGATGATTAGATTGTGGTTGTGTTTGCATTGGAGGAACTCTTTGTACAGGTCTTTGTTGTTCTTTACTTCTCACTAACGTTTGACGTCCACTTTCCCTATAACAAAATGAATTGGTTTAATTATCAGCCGTCTCTTAACTAAAAGGTGCCGTTCAACTAGCAGCCTGAATGATATTCAGCCATCGATCAAACAGCTAGAGAAATAACTTGGATCAATACCGTTTAATTACTTGCCTAGCCTAGTCATTTACATTAAGTTTATTTAAATTTTTTTCATTTAATATTCGGATTCTTTTCTAAAAGTCCTAGTTGTTTTTAGCATTGTGGTTTCAGTTCTAACCTAATCTACCCTTTTTAACGAGTAAGCCATGCGATAAACTGTTCATATTACTTTACATAAATAAAGAATTCTCGAAATTTAAATAATTCATATATTTTCGTCACACGGTTACCATGTTCTATAAACGGCCTAAGTTTCTGCCAGCGCGTTCATTAAATATTGTATTAAACGCTACGACTGGACATCATTCAGGCCGATAGATGAACGGCGCCATTTAGTAAAGAGACTAGGCTATTAATCGAACGGCTAATTAAGCTAATTGGCTGCGACATATATATTGTATTAACATTATCTGATGTTGTAAGTTTTGCAATTTATTTCATTTTTAAAACAACAACTATTGAGTATTGCTGGGCATTTTCATGAAATAGCATTTGAATGAGCATGACGTGAGCATTTGAATTTAGGAAATTTACCTAGGTAAGATTCTTAAATTGAAATGCTCATACATTATCAGAACCAATATCAGTATGAATGTAAAATTTAATTATAATAACAGGCTTTAGTAAAATTATTTAAATAAAATATCTTTTAAGATTTGACCTAGCTCACCTTGTTTGCTGTTGCTGTTGTTGCGACATTACACGTGACGATTGTATCCGTCTGTATTCCGCTACTGACATTCTTTGACCATTCGACAAGGGAATAAACTGTCTTTCTTCCTCTGGATTTTCCGGTTCCATTAGTAATTGTGACGGTTGCTGTAAATGCGAGTGGTCGAACGCTATTTGTTGCTGGAAGCCATGTTGAGGGTTGAAGTTGATTTGATGTTGCTGATTTATACTCGGTCCGGGGGTGAGACTGTGGTTTTGCCTTAAGGGTGGGGGTGTTTGGAACTGTTGGGGTGGATTCTGATTTTCTGTGACTGGATTTTTTTGGACTATTACCGCTTTTATACTTTCTTCTAGATCCATTTCACTTGCATTGTTAGGTTGAACAGTAACTTTTTTCACTTGTTGTTGTACTTGCTGTACTTGTTGGGGAGATGCGCGTTGAGGTGTCGAGTTGAGGGTCTGTTGAGGTAGTGGTCCGTTCTGGTTCGTCTGCACGGTGTGATGCTGCGTCATTGTAGTCTGCAGTGTTTGCGCCACTATGGTGCCTTGTGGTGTTATTATCCGCGCTGGTTGTTGCCCGTGCGATTGATTTTGTTGATTTATTAAAATTTGTTGCTGAAATTTTAAATAGTTTTTTATAACAATTGAAAGTACAAGCTACGAAAATTCATTACATATGTGAAAAATTCACAGACAATTATTTTAAATCATTCCGCCATTTAACCATGAACTAATTTTTAGAACAACAAATATAGATTATACACATAACAAATGAGCATTGATAAACTTATGTTTTTCAAATCCATACCTGTTGAGTTGTTAGTTTTAATTGATTGAGTTGCTGTATTTGTTGTGGATGATTGATGACATGCTGTGTTAGTTGATGTTGTTGATGCTGCTGTTGTTGTTGTTGCTGCTGCTGTTGTTGTTGTTGCTGCTGCTGCTGTTGATTTTGCTATATATTAGAAAGAGTAAGATCTTAAATGTTATCAAAAGCGATTTACTTTTTAAAATGATGAATAATAATAATACACATAAATTTCCTTTTACAGTTCCTTATTATATCACTAGAGACTTACCATCTCTTCGCACGGGAACATACCTAGCTGCCTAACAGTAGCAGTTACATCAACTTAACTGACACTTTATTTCCGATTTCGACAAAAATTCTTATGATTTCTGACTATATACACATTTTTATCGGAATACAAAATGACCTATACCATTTGGCATTCTATTAGTGAAAAAAAATCAGAATCCGATCAGTAGTCTCAGAGACTAGCCCTACTATTATAAATTTACAAACTTTACCTATATAATATTAGTATAGATAGTATAAATAGTATAAATAAATATGTTGGGACATTAACACACAGCACCATCTAGTTCCATGGTAAGCTACGAGACCTGTTTTATGGATACCAGATAGTCGATACACTACCCATGATATATAACTTTAAATACATACGTATTATAAATAAAAACACTCATGACTAGAGTACAAACATTCGTGCTCATCACACAAATGAATGCCCCCCGCGACCGTCGGCACAGCGAGTGGGGCCACTACACAATTAGACATGAAGGATAACATACCTGTAGCAGCGGCGTGCGCGGGCGCGGCGGCCGCGCCTGCGCGTGCGCCGCGTGCGGGTTGAGCACGCGCGGCGACGCGGCCCGCGCCCTCGGCGCCGCGCCGCGACCGCCGGTTGGCGTTTGTGGGCTCTGTTACATTCATATTTCTTAATGGTACTATGGCTAAACACGCTCTTATCGACTGTATTACTTCTGATTGTCGTATCGAAAAGAGACTTTTTATATGCAGTTCGGACGACAATACTGATATAATTTTGAATTTTGGTTCCCGACGTTTCGGATGCTTTACAGAGATCATGGTCACGGGAAAGACGGTCTCTCTATCCGCGAACCGAACGGTCCACGTAATATAGTTTTATTATCACATGTTTCATTTATGCTTTTGTTACTCTAAATTATATTTTGTTAAAATTATTGTCTCATTTAAAGTAGTTTCTATGATTATTGTATTGTAAAAGTATCGTATATAATTTCATATGTATTTAATAAAAAGCTGTTATATTAAAATAACAGACAGACGCTTCAATTTTATTTATCTGTATATATAGATTAAAGTTATAATATTATTGTGACAGCGTTGTGTAAATGTGAAGACTGACACTTTGTAATATACGAGTAGTATTCATGAAAATCTAGCATACGCATACTGTTGGTGTTCCTATTCAATAAAAAGATAAGCGTCCCGTACTCAAAGAGTCGAGATTGAATCCTATTACTACGAATAACTTATTTATCAAAATTAAGGGAAGCTAACAACGACGCAAAAACGGTTTGTTTCATAGATGATAAATAACACTGGAAAACTATAGCCACAATTAAAATGAAGACCTCAATGCTTATGCGGATGGATGAGCTTTATCAGCCTTGGATGGTTATGGATCTAATTAAATTTAGTGTGGTCTAAGAGCATTTCCTGTAAATACAAAATAAGAACAAAAGTAAAAACTTTGTATTCGACCGGGATTCGAACCTGGACACCTAAGATTGTCAATCTTGCGCCTTGGTCACTTGACCACGATGCTTATGCCCTAGCGTGTGAAATTAGCGACTATATTTTGCGTGGAATAATGCGAAAGAAAACTGCATGAAAACTCGAAAACCGTCGTTTTTCCAGACATAAAATTAATCTAGATCGATTTTTCGCCCCAAAAAAGGCCCACATACCAAATTTCAGCAAAATCCTTAGAGCCGTTTCCGAGATCCCCGGTATAAATAAATATACAAGAATTGCTTGTTTAAATATATTAGATAAATTAAAATTTTGGTCATTTTCATCGTACAAAACGTCTATGTGCTTCACCGTATCTGCACAGCTAGAGTTTGTGCGTTAAAATGCACTCGTCTCAAGACAAAGATAGCCCTTTGACTTAGGTGGAAAAACCATAATGAAAACATGCACTGTGACTAATAGTACTCTCGCACTCGCCAAGTCTCGTTTTTTTTTGCGAGAGTGTATAGCCGGATCGCAACTCTTGTGACGTTTTTGCATTTACGCGCTGCCAAATACCATAACATTTATGATTATGATATTTGACAGAACTACGTCTCAGAGACAATGCTTATTTTTCCAACCGATCAATTTACCAAAAGAGTTTTTATTACAGAGTTATTTAAAAATTAAATTATTATCGACTTTTAAATATCAATTCTATTGGTATAAAATAAATAAATATGTAAATCTTAGAAATAAAACTTCGTTGTTAAAATAGAGAAAAAAAAACTCTCAACTGTAGAGTACAAAAGATATCGGTCGTTTGAAAAAATAAGCACTAAAGCGACGACATGGAAAGTAGCGCTATTCTACGTTACACTAATTCAGTAAATGGACTTTATATTAGACAGTAATAAATGTTTATGCGTACTTGTTGAATTTGAGGGTTCAAAAGGCGAGGAGGCACTTGCAGAGGCGGGGCGGGCATCGGCGAGCGCAGCGCGGGGCGGCGCGGGCGCGCGGCGCGCGGCGGCCGCACCAGCGTCACCCCGCCTTGGTTATTCAGCGCCTGGTTGAGCAACTTCGGCGGCGCTTGTCGTGTTGGTGTTCCCTAAAAATACATTTTGTATTCAAATACATATTACATCAGTATAAAAGAACTAGTATAACCCGCGGCTTCACTCGCGCTAAAACTACAAAAAATACTAAAAAGGTAGGTTCCATACAAACTTTCATCACCTATTTCACCCCCTTATTGGATGAATTTCGAGAAATACTAACACACTTACTTATTTAATCGAATTGAAGAGCAATAATATCGAATTGAAAAGCAATAATACCAAGCTTCAAGTAATTCTGATCAGAAATTATTTTTTGGGTTGCATTATAATGTGTTTTAACGTAAGAATGAGATAATCTCCCGCGGTAAAAAGTAGCCTATGTCACTTTCCAGCCCTCCAACTATCTTCACACAAAAATCCACTCCAATCCGTCATACCGTTTGATGTGAATGAAGATAAACAAACACACTTTCACATTTTATAATATTAGTATGGATTATAATTCAATAATCATAATTATTATAAAAGTTTTATTATTATTTAAATCATTTCAGAATTAAATTAATCTTAACTAGTAGCATAAATAACTTTCCTTATCACTATTAAGTTACTAGATTATTATTAGTCTATCTAATTTTTAATGGCATGATTCTGCAGAGTTGTATTTGTTCCATAATAGGCAATCAGATTTGCGTTTGATTGATGACAGTATGAAAAACAAAAATAATAATTAAAGCTCTCACCGCTTGATTGACATAGGCAGTGTGCATCACAATTTGATGTTGTATCTGTTGAGGTTGTATTTGCTGGGATTGTAAGTGCTGATGTTGTTGTTGTTGTAACTGATGTTGTAGTTGTTGTTGTTGCAATTGTTGCAAATGGATCTGCTGTTGGTGTTGCAAGTGCTGCATAAGTTGAGGAGACGCACGAGATAGCTGCTGCTGCTGCTGTTGCGGGGGCTGAAAAAAATAATTATTTTGAATATACCCCCAAGTTCTTTTTTTATTTATATTTATTAATCCTTTATTACGCCAAAACGAAAATACAATTTAAAAGAATATATACATTTACAATTATATATTTTAGTGTAAAGGTAGCCTTATCACTTAAAGTGATCTCTTCCAGGCAACCTATATTATAAATAAACTCTCTCTTATTTCTTTCTTAAATTTTATTAATATATAATGATTATGTACAACATATCAAATTAGTATAAGCATACAAGCAGTGGTTCAAAAATGATTTTGTATGGTGATCTAGTGAACGATTTATTTGTGGATTAATTATTATAATTCAAAAATATTATGGTATAAATATATATCCATTATCAATAATTATCTTATGAATATTTGTTTCCACAGTGATATAAACTATGAGTATTCATATTAATTAATGGTATGGTATGGTGAAAACTAACAGTTTGTGGAGGTCCATGTTGAGCCGGAGGTGGTGGTTGAGGTGGTGGTGGTTGCGCGGGGTGTATCACAGTTGGTTGAGATAGTACATGGGCAGGACTCACCAACTAGTAAAATTAAAAAAAATATGAATAAAATGTAAACTAACGAAAATGACTTAAAATTTATATTTGCATATTACAATATGAGTATATTGATTTGTGAATGACAGTAGTTATTAATTTATGATTCAGTCAAAATGGAAACTGTTATCTGTCATATAACAAATTGGAAAATAAAATATATGTAATCAAAATGTATTTCTTGGTTGCACCACCATTTATAACAAGTTTGGCATGAAGAGTTAAAAAAAATGTTGCAAAGTTTTATAATGGACAGAAGAGGTCCTGTTAGTATGCAGCATGTTGTAACAATCTATGTTTAATAAAAGTGGAGATACTTAAGATAGTAGACATCACTTTGTTAAACATATATATTTATGTAAGTCCACTAACTACATTTCATGACTTTTAAGTTTTTACATTGACTAAAAATAAAACAAAAAAATATAGAAAACAATTTTTTATAATATTAATAACATGAATGTCACAATATTTTTAGACCTAATATGTGAAAAAACCTATATTATTATTTTTATACATATATTATGTTTGCCGATTATTATTATTGCCTCAATATTATTGTACAAAAAATGTTTTTTTTTTAACTTAAAAATACTTAATGTTGTTTTCTATAATTTACAATATACATACATGCAATTTATAAATTCTTTATTAAGTTCCTTTAATATTTTATGATTTGCTACTTGCTGTGAAAGTTCTTTGTTAAATAAGACTAAATTAGTTAATAGAGCAATTCAAATTGGGAACTAAGTTCATAATACAATATCAGTTTAATATGTATTAACATAAGCCCTTTATTAACACTTAGATATACAATTTTCAGAGATATAAAATAGATCAAAGCACATAATTTGTATATTGATTTAGAAATTGAAGAAAATTATAAGAAGACCTAAAATAGTGTTAAACATAAAATGTAAACATAGAAAAGCAGGTTTAAAGTACAGCAAAAATGGTAGTCCCATGCCAAATTAAATTATGAAACAGAAATTTCTCACTAAAAATGTCTAACATGCGTTGAGCATTTGCAATGTTATTTACAATGCGAGACATTTAATCTAATCAACAGACATACATGTTGTGGACGTTGTGATGCATCAATAATTTGGTGAGCTTGTTGCAGCGCAACTTGTGCATCCATAGGCAAATCAGATGTGTAGTACACCTACAAATAAATTAGTTATAAACAATAATGCCTATCAGCATTGTTCCTTATATAATTTGCACACATTTTACTGCCATTTGAAGATTATTTAACTCTTATGTTCCAGCATACATTAGCCTCTTTTTGAAGATTAACAGGATTGGTTTATAAATCATCAAACTATAGTTTGAAAAATATGCCAATATTATAATTCACTTTTAAAAAATTTGATAGTTCTCAATACTTACCACAGATTTTTTTGTTTATAGGATAATACTATCCATGTGACATTGTATAAATTATAATTTTTTAATTATAAATAATATTAATTTTGTTTTATGTGCACTAGTAACACACTTTTTTGTTTCCATATTTTTGCTTAAATTTGTGGATTTAAACACTAATGAAAGAAACCCCTTCATAAACACTTTTTAAGTTAAGGTTTTAATAAATATATGATATATAATATATTTGCACCAACAAAAAAATTACTATATATTTGGTATTACCTGATGTCTATGTAAGGCTTGTTGTTGATGTTGCTGCTGCTGCTGTTGTTGTTGTTGAAAATCTGCTCGTTGTTGTTGAGGAGGTGGTTCATGACGAATGATGTATTGCTGTTGATATTGCAATCCATCACCAACTACTAGCTGAGGTTGAACAGCATCACTTACAATTATATCACTAGGTTGCTCAGCTTGTTGGACTACCACCTTTACAACAAATATATTTTGTGATCAATTTTTGGATGTTAATTTAGAAGTTCATGACATTTTATTTAATAACATATCACCCCACCTGTTGTTGTGGATATTGCTGATCATCTTGATTGACTATTATTCCATCGGAACATATTAGATTGGGACAATATCTTTGCAAATCTTCAAGAGTTAATGATTGTCCTTGCCCAACTATTTGGTAGAATTGAGCCATTGCAAGGAATTAACCTGAATGATAAAATAATATATTCCTAATTAAAATAAACAACATAACATGCAATGTATGACAAGATTGTTTTTATGTACAAAGAAAGGTTTAGCTGATTTTTAGAATTAGAGCAATATTATCAACATTATTTAAATGTCAATGTAATATAATTTGGAGCCTTTATATATTACGAAATTATGACTATTGTACTAGACTCATATTTACAAAATTTGTACTTCAATCAGTGACTTATAATTACTAAGAAATATGCATATATCAAAAGTTGAGATGAAAATTAAAGTTTTGAAGTTCAAATGTTTCATTGACAGATATTTTATACACTCGTACACCCTGACCATTACGTACAACAACAGCAGCAATGACTTCGTGGATCAAGCGAGTACCTCAACTATGGCGACGACATTCAACAATCATTTCACAATCACTACCTTTTCCACTCTATAGTAAAACATTTCCTAAACTTTTATAAAAGACGAAATAACAAAAATGAATCTGTAATCATTTAAAACGAGCGAAACGAAATGGCTTCGATCCTTTTGGTCAAACCTAAATATTCTTGAACTACATATATTACGGTCGATCGAATAAATTTACTGAACTATTCCTTACCAATATTTACTACGGACATTTTAAATGCCATATGTATACAGAAAACACTAAGTTTTAGCATCAAAATGCAAAAATTTCAACTCAAACGCCAAATCAAGAAGCAATTTACATTATGGCGTGTGTGTCACTTTTTTACAAATGTATTTTTTTTGTATTTTATCAATGTTGCCTTTAACATTTTTTAATATATGTAAGAGTAGTTAAGTGAAAACTGAAAACTTTATGTTATTAAAATTGTTAATAATTTTCTCTAATAAACAATACATAAACTGACATTATATATAACATCTATACTTATTATAAAAATAAGTCCCCCGGCCGCGTCTTTCTGTCCTCCTGTCTGTCCTCCTGTCTGTCTGTACGCGATAAACTCGAAAACTACTGAACGGATTTTTATACGGTTTTCAACAATAGAAAGAGTAATTCTTGAGGAAGGTTTAGGTATATAATTTATTATGCTTTTATGTAAATTAGCTGAAATACGGCGACAAATGTTGAAGAGGTCGCAAAAAATCTCGCCAAATGGGAACTTTCCACGCGAACGCCGCGTAAACTAGCAAAGATACAGTTAAGTAATGTACTAGAGAATTCAAAATCTATAAAAATGCTACAAAAAAGTCCGCGATAGCATATCTCTATCTCTTACGGTTGACTTACAATAACCACTTTTATGTTAACATTTTTAATTAAAAACATTACGTTATTTTCAAAGTTATTTTCTTTAGTTCGGTATTAATCCTTATCCAAATGAATATTTTAGTTAGCTTAGTCATTTAATGCAGATTAAAATTGCTCTTTACACTAAATCAATCAGATGAATAGTTTTTGAGATATCGTTGTTAGAAGTAATTAGTAGCGAAACATTTTTAATGCTTGGCGAGCATTGAGATGCCTACGGCGAGTCCATCCCCTCTGCCCCGCATCGCTCGACCGCCTGCTCAAGCTATATAAACCGGGCGATGTAGCGCGCGATCCTAGGATACTTTTTACCGCGGGAAAATATCTTATTTCTGAGGAAAAATACAAAAACTGCAATGTAAGAGTATACTAATATGTAACACCTAAGAATTTAGTTTTTGGTCATCTGAACGCGGGCGGAGCCGCGGGCAATGCTAGTATTAAATAAGATTAAGAATGATCAAAATTGAATGTACGACTAACGTATTTTTTTTATTTATATACAATTAATAGACCAGTCACCTAAGCAAAAAAAGGGGTCAACCTCGGAATGAGAGACAATAAGCTGGAAACTCATTACACCTTCATTTTGGTGTTGATGTTCTAAAAGTTGTCTGAATAGTCACATAAAATCTCGTGTGTATCTTAAGTTATTCAAGATCAAAGTTCAGAAAAATTGGGCTTTCGCGATTGTCTAGGTTTCTGTAGTTGAAATAATGATGTTTAAACATTAATTATAAAAATTGTAGATCATAAAAGCGGAAAACTTTGTTCTAAGCATTTTTGTGTCCAAGCGTTTTTGAGATAGAAGGCAAAGAGCAGCGCTCAGCTATACAAACTGTAATGAAATGACAACCGTGAATCGCGGTGAATAATATCTTGTATAAAGATATGAAATCATTAAAATATCATTAAAAATACGATTTAAATACGATGAGATTTTATGTGATTTTTGAGACAACTTTTAGAACGCCAAAATTAAAGTGGGTAAGTTTTATTCGGAGGTGAACCCCCTATATAATATGACGACTAGAATTATAATACAACTACAACTAATAAGCGAATGAAAATTGTACAAATTAGCTAGTTACTAAATTGTTAAATTGACTTTTTAAAAACATCTAGGAAGTTATGTCTTTGACATTTAATTTTATTTATTTAAAAAAGTCGATTTTAATACTTGAGTATCGATATATTGAGTAAAAAGCTGGCACAGTCACACAAACAATTGAATTATTGAATAAAAAAAATAAAAATGTAGATTGTAGAATATTTTTTTTAGCAATAAGTTATACTTTAACCTTTATAGTGATCTGTGGAATGTCTGGAATGACTGGGAGACAGACGTATAGACTATAGACTTTATAATTCGAGATTAATTTTTTCCTATTGGCATAATTATTGAAATACTTATTTATATTCTTCGACTAGAAAAGACTTTTAAATTTACGGAAATAATACACCTTTAATGATTAATATTGGGCCTAAACAAATATTTGCTTTGCCTTATTTTATTTGATGACATTTTGTCGCTGTCCATATTCCTAAGATCTGTGCAAATGGATGATACACTGGCTTCTCCAGGTATTTTTATTATTTTTCTAAAATATCTGTTCTTTTAATTTATATTATATTTAATATTATTTACTGTTAAGGAAACAAAATGGGTGATTCAGCGTCTGAGAGTGATTCAAGTTCTCTTGATGGCGGAGCTATGCTTCCTCCCAGCACTGTTTCGCGAGATCAGTTGCAAAAAAGGATTGAATCACTTCAACAACAAAACAGGTATACAGTTATATAATTTATAATAATTTTGTGCATAAACCAACCAGTAAGTTTATGTATAATTAATTTAAACATAAAAGAAGCCTTTGCTGTTCTGTTCTGGCAATTCCTGCTTGCTTCAAATTTGGATATCACTAACAATTATTACTTAAATTATGCTCAATGTAAGGAGCTATAATAAATGTAATAATGTATTTGGAAAATAAGTATCTATATTAAATATAATAATGTATTTTGTAAAATAATTATAGAGGTTTTATTTCTAAAATGTTGTATTATTTTTAGAGTCTTAAAAGTGGAGCTTGATACCTATAAATTAAGAGTCAAGGCATTACAAGAGGAAAATCGGGCATTGCGACAAGCTTCAGTTTCAATTGTAAGTTATTAAATTTAAAATAAGATTTTAAAGTTTATAGATTTCTACTAAGGCCTCTCGCATAGTAAATATTAATGATTTGTTATATCATTATGTTTTTTATTAAATGCTTTATAATTTATCTATCAATTTGTATATGTTGCAATATTACTTTGAATGTTTATTTTTCTTTGTTAAAATCAACATAAGTACTTACATTAGCAGCTAGAGAGTTTCCTGTTAATTTGTCAAGATTTTTTTATATTTTAATTAGATAACTAAAATGTTAAAATAGTTCTTGCTCACACAATGTTTTTTCATTAACAATAATTAGTTAGTTACCTTTTCTGTCCTCACATTGACACTTTTATTTTATTATTATTTTATTTTTCATTGTTGTAGCTCACTTTAAAACTCCGTCTTTCCAATATTTTAAAGGTCAATAAATTAAATTAACAACTAAAATTATAACCAGAATATTATTTTATCGATTGTGGTTCTGGCTCTGTTTCTAATTTGTATAATTAATCATAAACATACTGTACCTAACATAGATATTTTAATAATCTTTGAAAATCATAATGTTAATCTTAACTTCTTACAGTGTAAAATGATAAATATTACATTCTTGTACTTTTGTATCAATATAAAATTTTTAGCAAGCAAAAGCAGAACAAGAGGAAGAGTATATTTCAAATACACTGTTGAAAAAAATTCAAGCTCTAAAGAAAGAAAAGGAAACACTTGCGCATCATTATGAAAGAGAGGAGGAGTGCTTAACTAATGATCTTTCCCGTAAATTGAACCAAGTAAGATTTTATATTAAATGGTTAGCATAGTGTTAAGCATAGTGCAACATAAAAAGGTATTTACATATTTGTATACTGAATGAAATTATTCATTATTTAACAAAATGTGACAATTATGTAAATTTACTATTACTCAAAATCATCTATGCTTTATTTAAATGCAAACAAGAAGTATACTGTGTTATAGTTATGTTAAGTTATGAATTTGGTCTTGTGGCTTATACTTTTGATGGTAGTGGGGATGAAGGTTTTTTTTCATAATACAAAATATCAGTAGAAACTATTATTGAATTATGTTGTTACAGTTACGTCAAGAAAAATGTCGCTTGGAACAGACTTTAGAACAGGAACAAGAATGTTTGGTGAATAAATTAATGCGTAAGATTGAAAAATTAGAAGCAGAAACTCTTGCAAAGCAAACTAATTTAGAAAGACTTCGTAGGGAGAAGGTAATTTTGCTATACTTTTTTCCATGTGAAAACAATAGAATATGTATACTTTTAAATTGATGAACTTGGAGATTTGTGGTTTTATGCAAACAAGCATTTATCATTTTACTTATTTAAATAACCACATACTATCATATTGATTGTGGAATTTCCCCTTAATTCATATAGATATTGTAAAAAAAATAGTTTATGACGTACATACATAGTTTTTGTATACAATTTAATATTATACAATGTTAATTATCAAATCAATACCATCCTATTGAGTAATAGTTAAGTAAGGGTCACTGGATATTTGTTGATATTTTTTTTTTGATAATTATAACTTGATTCATAGGTAGAATTAGAAAATACTTTAGAACAAGAGCAGGAGGCATTGGTAAATAGACTTTGGAAAAGAATGGATAAATTGGAAGCAGAGAAACGTTCTCTTCAAATAAGACTCGACCAGCCTGTCTCCGATCCTGCCAGTCCTAGGTGAAATATTTATATAAAGCTTGCATAGATTATATATTGTTAATTTATGATGTAAGTTTGTATCTAAATTTAACTCAAAACGAGTCATGAGCAAATAGAAAAATAACAAACATATCCATCTTGCACTCAATCAATAATTTAGTAATACTTTTTTAAATAATATTTTACATTGTAAACTGTTTTAGTTGTCTGTTTAACATGTGTTAAAAATTTCTTGAAACAATTATGTACCTATGTTATGTATACCTATATGATTAATAATGGTCCACATTGCCAGGGACATCAGCAATGGTGATACGGCGTCTAACTTAAGTAACCACATACAAACACTGCGTTCAGAGGTTGTTAAATTAAGGTAATGTATTACTTTTATTTATTGCAATATAATATATTATATAAAACACGTAACTTTGTAATAAAATGAGTAATATAAAGATGGTCTTAATTATATTATGTTACTAGCGACTCACCCTCGTTCCGCTCGGGTTCGTTCCTAGTGGACATTTAGGTTTGTACTTTGTATTTTTAATGCCGAATTATAAAAAAATTATAATAAAATTTTTTGTCCTAAAAATAAAAATATTTTTTTTGGGTTGGACCACCTTATGGTGTTGTATGATCACTTAGGGGTATGAAAAATAGTTTACGTCTTATTCTCAGACCTACTGAATATACACACAAAATTTCATAAGAATCGGTCAAGCCGTTTCGGAGGAGTTTTGTTACAAACACTGTGACACGAGAATTTTATATATTAGACTAGCGGACCCGACAGACGTTGTCCTGTCTACACGTCTTTAATTTGAAAATTTCAAACTTTTTTTAATAATTTTTTTGATGAAAATTATTATTCAAATTGTGAATCTAAACCATTCCCAGATCCCCTTGAACACACACAAAAAATTTCATCAAAATCGGTCCAGTCGTTTGAGAGAAGTTCAGTGACATACACACTCACAGAAGAATTATATATATAAAGATAAATCTATCTTTTGTACAGGAATCAGTTGGCGGTTTCGCAAAACGAAAACAAAGAGAAGATACAACGCTTTGCATTAGAAGAAAAGCATATTCGAGAAGAAAATCTTCGCTTGCATCGAAAATTACAACAAGAGGTATATTACTATACTATATTAATATGTTGGGACATTAACACACCTGACACCACGTCATCTAGTTCCGTAGTAAGCTACGAGGCCTGTGTTGTGGGTACCAGATAGTTGATACACTACACATATATAATTTTAAATACATACATATTATAAATATAAACACCCATGATTGGTGTACAAATATTCGAGTTCATCACACAAATAAATGCCCCCAGCGGGACTCGAGCCCGCGACCTCTGGTACAGCAAGTAGGTCATTACAAACTGAGCCAAATTTGTCGTTGAAATGTAAGATTTACTACTATTTTATTATACAAATACTAAAATAAATAAATAAAAATCTTTATTGGGCACGTTATAAAGATTACAATTTATAAAATTATGTTCGATAATGACTACATTAGTTAAAACTGTGTCGTAGTCATTGACGCCCACCTCCAGATTAAAAAAATAAATGATTGTTTCTTATAAAGGTGGAGCGTCGTGAAGCTTTATGCCGGCATTTATCAGAAAGTGAATCGTCTCTAGAAATGGAGGAGGAGAGACAGTTCAATGAGGCATTGAGTGTAAGTAACATTATTATAGTGAGAATTATTTTCTCAATTTGTTTTATTATGTATGTATGCGGCATACCACGCGATATTTACGTCTATTGTAAACTGATGGTCATGACTATTTTAATAAAGAGTGTGGGATGATGTAATGGTTATGTGATTTCTTAATGTTTCTTCATAACTTTGGTTCACATGAGATACACATCTACTCGAGTCTCTGTATGAAAAGACTGACATATGGACATGACAATATTATAAAAGTTCCGTATTGGCCTTTAGGCTACATAAAAATCCAAAAAATTTCGTCGTCGATGTGTCGGTGTGGTGTGCATCATCTAAACGTTCTCGGGCGAAGCGATAGTGGATCACTAGTTTAGGTAACCAAAACATGTAATTACAAAAACAACGTGTGTACAATAAAGGTTTTTTGTAATAATTGTCATCGTGAACGCGTGGGTGTGGTTCCCAGGCGCGGTCCCGCAGCGTGTCGTCGCCGGGCGGCTCGCGGCCGCTGTCGCCGTACGCCGCGCCCGCCGGCTTGCCGCGCCCCGCGCTGCACTTCAACGCGCAGGTAACGGACACACGACATGTGTATGTCGGTGTTGTTATTTCTATGATCACAATATATAATATCAAAATATTATTATGCTGTTTTTATCCGGGGCGGACCGTGTATTTGCGGGCTCTGCGCTAACACTTCTCGAGGGCCTAAACTAATTGTCATTTTGTCTTTATAAAATCTACTCGCGACTCACCCTCGCTGTGCTCGGGTTCGTCCCTAGTTTGCTTTCCCGTACAAACTTTCATCCCCATTTTCAACTCCTGAGGGATGATTTACGGGATAAAAAGTTCCAGGGTCTCAAACTATGTTCTTTCCAAATTTCATCTAAATCGGTTCAGTAGATCCAGAGATTACCCCCTACGACGTCACAAACCCTCAAACTTCACCTCTATAATATGAGTATAGATAACAGCTGTACATGTGTAGCAGGCACGACGGGCGAGCGAGCGCTTCGTGAAGCCGGCGGTGCCGGGCGCGGCCGCGCTGCTGCCGCGCGCGCCCGCGCCCCCCGCCGCCGCCGCCGCGCCCGCGCCCGCCAGCCCCATGGACACCGAGACCAGGGACTAGACCTACGTGGCCTCATATTACTGAAAGTGATAACCTAGCTTTCGATCATTACTTATTCTTTGTTACATTCACGTGAATGTTTGATAGTAATTTTTTTTTGTATTTTTTTGTCACGCATTTATTTTGATTTTATAGTTTATGACTTTTTGATATTTTTTTTAAATTAAAGTGTCTCTTTAAGGATTTACCCAAAATCATAATTATCCCGCGATGAAATCACGAAAAATAATTTTATATAAAATGTCAAACATTCGCGTGAATCATAAGAAAGTATTGTCTTTCTATTGTTTCACTTGCTATAAATAATGTAAAAATTTTACTCAAGCTCCAAAGTGGTTTCGATAAACTCATCTATGTTAGGTTGAATAAGTGAAATAGGTTATTACTTTTGGTTGATAGTACGTAACACACGTGGCCTCCTATATACGATACTCAGACTAACAGAATGAAGACATTCATGATTTCCGCGAACGATTCGGAAGAGGATTTATTAGCGTAAAAAAAATTTGGTTTTCATGCTGTATTGAGGAACTGGAATTGCGAGTTTAGCATTTATTCTATTTTTCATTACTCTCTTTTTCTCTCATTTGCTAGTCTGAGGTATCAACTTACATGTTAAATCTGTGGTTCTCAAACTTTGTTTTCGATTGTAAGACCTCTGGCACATTCGAGTGCTACGAAACTTGCTTCATCTAGTTAACATAATATAGCACGCGAACGAATTATAATTTTGCTTTCGTCTATTCCATATCTTTTTGATCATCTGGTAGTGTGCTGCAGGCTTAATGAGCAGGATTCAAACTTTCTCAATTTTGGGTCAATTTGAATTGTTTGTGTTATGTATTCTAAAGTATAGAATTCTGAATTGCAATATTTTAATACCAAAATCAAAAGAAACTACATATTTTTTTTAATTTTGATTTAATTTTAATTTGATTGTTAAATTTAAGAACCCTGCTCAAGTATGGTTTAAGATGAACCACGTATCAGATGACTAGCTTGCAGTTTTGAACACATAGAGTAAATATCCCTACAGGGATAGTGTCTTATACAAACCGTGCATCGTTTCACCACCACATGAGGTGCTCGTTTGTGTTTGAAAAGTCACCGACGAGTTCATATGTACACTGCCCGTTGACAAAACTGTTTTTTTCCGGTTCGAGCTGTTGACAATGTTGGCCGTATGTATGTGTGTGTAGCGCACCTATCGAGGCACGTGGTTGTATGAAGCGTTGTCTCTGAAGGGATATTTGCTCATGTGGTACTGAGACACCGAGTGCTACGCGGGGTCCGCTCTATGCAACCCCTTGTGCTGCTAGATAGTACTATAATTCATTAAATTAACTAATATTAAGATCGCCATTGTTGTCGCAACTAAGACTGTGCATGTTGATTTACTGGAAATAAATTAATTTTATTTTATTTGGGTAATTTTAAATTGTTATGTAGATTTCAATTCGGGAACAAAAAATATTGAAGTTATTTCTGGTATACTTATCTATACTAATATCTGGTACATTTAAGATTTTTTTATATTTTACCTTCAATACAGTGAAACATTAGTATGTTAGGAATATTTGATCGATCCTACTTTAAAAAATAATAATTGATTGTTATATGTATTTCTAGTTTTCCCCAAATTTTATTGTGATGTATACTATATTTAAGTTGTTATCCCGTACGTTTGAAATTATTATTATTTTACTAATTAAACCTTTGTTTAAAGGCTGGGAGCTTGCAAGTGAATTTACCATTTAAAAAAAGTTATTAATTTTTTTTCCATACTATTACCTTTAAATAATACCATTGTTCACTACTCGACAAGTTTATACATATATGAAATAAAAGTGGACTCATTTTCAAACAATGTTTGGTGTCGAAGCTTGTAATTGTATGATAGTATTCGATATTTAAAGACGATATATGGAACTGGGTGTGAATAAAATGGTGAAATTGTTTTTATGGTAGCCATGTTTTGGGTTTATTTTTAACTACAGTACTGCATATATATTGTCACAACATAGCATTTTATTAAATTTATATCAAGTTATTCGTGCGCAGTTCTATGTCGGAATTGTGTAAGTTTCTAAAATCATGGTCTGTGACGTCATAGGCCGCCTCGAGATTTGATGATTCAATTATCAAAAGTCTATTGTTACTATGTATGTCCTCGCTGATGTCAACGGTTTAAATAAAAGTAGTTATTATCTTATAACAGCGGCTGTTGGTCTCAAGGCTTTACGTTGCATAAGCTTTGGTGTCCTTACAAATATTATATGTATGTATGCATGTATCGTGCACATCACTCACTGCCTTCTAGACTTGACGCGTTCCTTATATGGGACCTATTTCACCACAGTTTATAACTAACGTTAAAAAGATGTCAAAGATAGTAATATTCGGTTAAGGCACATTTACATGGTCAATGCGCCTTTACAATATGTATTTTATACCAATAAGAAATGTAACTTGATTGTGTGAACCAAGTACGAATATTAAGAATAACTTATTTTAACAAAGTTGGTTTTATTAAAACGATAGCCACCTTTGTTGCCTTACTAAATATACGCTCTCGAATGCAGCATACTTAAAAGTATCGAAACAAAATATAAGTTTCACTAACATTGGTCCAGTAGTATCAAAGAAATTAACGCACATAAACAAATTCATTTTTAGATATAAAATTTCAAATAAGACGTTGCAGGCGTAAGACATAGTTGTAAGCCACGATATTGTAATATTCTGCTAGTTTGTTAATTAAATTATATTTTTAAGACGTGGTGAGACGGGTCTGATGTGATTTTACTTATAAAGAATTAATTATATGGCTGATATTAAACGCGCAACGTCCATTTTGGACACGAAGGAACGTGGAGATGTCAAATTTGGTGATCCTTATACTAATGTAACTGAGAGATTGGGTTGTATCCAAATATAAACCAATTATGGGCATTTGTGTATGTTCGCAATTAATCATAGATTATGGAATGTCGCAGGTTTTGTCGCTTAAGGTGATATTAACAGCATTTGGATAATATGGATGGCTGCCTTAAGGTCATTAAGGGCTTAAAAAATTGTTTTATTAATAGTTCCGTCGTAGCCCTTTCGTTATTATTATTATGATTATTATATTTTGGCTATTTAATAGTGTGTATACTCCTATGTCTGAAGATAAGACAAGCAGGAGTTATATATGGGCTTATTTATGTGCGGCAGTGGGTATAACGTTATAGACTGTATAAATTGGTACGTGATTAAGGGTTGTAGAAGATTAAAGATTGTAATCTATTATATATCACGATTAGGCATTCTCGTACTACTCTACGTGTTTGTTGAATGTGTATGTTATAAGAATGTTATGGTCAGCTCTCAAGCAAGTTGTTATGTGCAGATACTGAGAGTAGTGCGGACGTCGATTCAATTCAATTATGCAAATTTTCACTTAAACAGTTTATTTTTTTCAATGTTAATAAAAGAAAATATATGCATTAATATTAACTTGTGTTTTATTTATCTACATACATGCTACTGTCGTCGCTGCATAAGTTTTTACTTGACTCCGGCAAAGTCCAATGAAGGGTTATGTTTTTGAACTGATTGTATGTATGTACGTATGTATGTGCGATCCTATGTTTCCTCTTAATTACTTAACCGATTTTTGAAGATTCATAGATAGTAAGATTCGTGTTAATAACGCGAGTGTGATATATCTAAGTATATAAGAAAAATCAAAGTGACGGATTTAAGGCGCCAATTTGTGCCTTTAAAAAAATAACTTCTAACCTATCGAGTATCAAAGATTTAAAAGGCAATCACAAAAAATATACAACTTCTATGTTTAAAAGTAGTTTGAAATAAGAAGAAACTAAATAAAACTGGCCAGAACAATAATACAATACTGGCCAGAATAATGAAAAATAATGCGTTTTTAATTTTTATAGTTTTATATATTCGCACAGGTGAAAGATTTAACTAGATACATCATACAACAATGGCTGATCACAAAGAAAAATTATTTCAAATAAATGTCAATAGATGACGTTAGTTAAGAGTGCACGACTGAGAAGATGAACAAATCGATAAAAGCGCCTAAACTATACGGTCGCACCAAAACACGGCCCTACAGGATTGTACATGTTCCGACATCGACACGAAACCCCGCGATCACCATTGTTTCTAAAAACCACGCGTTACACAGTTTAACTATTTGCGAATCAATGACATCTATTAATTATCTATTCTAAGAATAGCCCGAATTAGCGCTTCAATTCAATTTTTTGTATGGGATGAAGCGTACTAGTATAGTATTATGTGATCTATGATACAACCTTAGATATCCTTCATTTACTTGGTAATTATTGTAAATATTGGAAAAATATGCATTATCGCTATTTTTTTCTTAAAATATCCTATGATTGATACGGGTAATCTCAATTGCAATCATGCAAATATGTACTCCTGTATTTAGTAATATTTGGTTTCATAGCCTCAAGGAAACAATAAAATCCTCATAGTTTTTATATGTCGGTCTGTCCATATGTCAGAGGCACTTTACTCGGAGACTAGGTACCTATTATACAGCTGAAATTTTGAAAAAGGTAGAGAATGTGAAGTAAATAATCAAGTAAACCTGTGGGGTATTTTAGGCATAACCTAAATTTTAGAGTATGGAGTGGGAAATTCTGTAAATATTTAGGTTTTAGAGCTTTCAAAATACTTTTGATGACAATTACTTTAATATCATATTTTATCATCTTTTTATTTAATATATCGATTTCGGCCAAGGCGGCCAATCTCGCTGAGACTAGCCAGATGCGCAGGAGATATTATAGTGCACAAGCTTACCTACGCGCAGACACAACGTGCACTCTATACCTTTTGCTCTCAAATTCCGATGAGACGATAGTTCGACACGACCGGTAAGAGTTATAGAGAAGCTATTAGTATTTTAAAGCAGATACGTTAGTCCTATAAGTGTTTGAAATATGGGATATTTTAGGAGTTCAGCGACATTCCTAATATTAGGTACATATCTTTAAGAAATGCTATGAAATACAAACTTATTTTTGCGGTCGATAAAATGAGTACGTATTGTGCTAACTTAAATATTTTAATTTAGTTTATAACCTTAAAAATTACATGAACAAAACAGAACAAATTTAATATTTGATGGCACGGAACTCTCGGTGCGAAATTCAGACTCACACTTGTCTAATTTTTTATTATTTGTTCATTAGAAATATTTTTTTGCTTATATAATATAACTTAGCATTCTTCATCATCCATGGTTCGGCACCTCTAATAGGTACAGAAATTATACTTTACACACGGGTCGTAAACTTAAGTAAACCGGAGACAGACAGGACAAGGTGTATTTATCTTGGTCGCTGCTAGGGTTACAGGTAGAGCAATTTGCATAATGCCTCCCACGATCTATTTTTAGCAATATAGCATTTTTATAATGAGTAAACTGCAGAAGGAGCTTATTGTACAACACCGCTTAGGCTTACGATTTATCAGTAAACAAATCATTCTCATGTTTGGTCTTCAAACACGCGAAATATTAGGTATTCTACTATCTATAAATGTTTTTAAAATCCAATTTAAAAAAAGTGATTTATGTATATTTCCTTATTACAGATGCACATTTAAAAAAAATATAAGTATATATCGTTCAATATTTGACAGTTGACTTATTAAGCGCGCTCAACAGATGAGGCGAGAGGGCATAAAGCATGGATGACAAATAAAAGCATAGAGTCACAGATTAAGGAGTTAGGAGACTACACATATGACATAGAGTTAAATTGCTACGTATAAAAAGTTTTAGGTGCGTTCAATATGGATGCGTTCGCAAACTGTTTGCAATAAAAATCTAGTACCTATGTATTACAAATCTCGTTGTTCTCAAAAGTTACGAAAATCGCCTTAAATATAAAAATTACTTCCATATTACGCGAGGGGGTCAAAAATTACGAAAAATGTAGGAAATGTAACCTTCTGGCAACGTACTTGTACACATTACCGGGGGGCGGGGCTGCCAGATAACAGTCGTTGATTTACCCGACCACGGACCAATAAACCTCAAAATACCCGGTTTATCCCGCCAGCGCCAACCATGAGCAGATTACCCGAAAATAGTTTTTTTAAGTATGTAAGTTATTCATGCTTTATAAAGAATAAAAGAAATACCAATGTTAGAAAAAGAAGTCATTGTAATCAGTTCTCAATTAAATAGCTTTAAATTATTAAATCAAACATTAAAAAAAACTTAATATATTAAATTAATCAGCTAAACTAAAATACCTGCTTTTACCGGGCTCAATGCAAATACCCGTCAAAATGACCCACTTTTCGGGTATTTTACCCGCCAATTGGCAGCGCTGCAGAACGTATTATCATAGATCATTATAATATAATACTGGTCTTATAATAAAATATTTTATGAAGTAGTAACATCTATGATTTCATGCTTTAACTATTTTAATTTTTAAATACAACTGTTACCAATTAAAGTAGTTTCGTTATTTTCTACTAGATGACGCTTGGCAAAAGTTTTCAATTTTTTATAATATAGTTTTGTGCAAGTTGCAGGTCTTTTAATACAAAAAACTAGTGTACAAAAAACTAGAGTACATATTAATAGTAGATTTAAATGAAGGCTTTGTCTATCGACGTTATCATCTTGTAGTTTTGGAATGATCATTGGCAAAATAACACAAAAACTTCGTTCTTTATATTATTTTAAGGACACTTCTTATCTTATTTTTAACCCCCGACGCAAGAAGAGGGGTGTTATTAGTTTGACGTGTTTGTGTGTTTGTGTATCTGTCTGTGGCATCGTAGAGCTCCTAAATGAATGGACCAATTTTGATGCGTTTTATTTCTTTGAAAGCAATTGTGATCGAGATAATTCTTAAATATAAATTATGAAGATCAGTCCGGGAATTTCATGATCATCACTCATTTCCTACTTGACAAAAGGTTCTTACTAATTTTCACACATTCGATTGATTTGAAATTTGGTGTACTGTTACTTCGGTGGTATTTCCAAGAGATACTAATCTAGAGATGATGCTGTAGTATCAAATAGTCTGCGGGATGCTCAATTTCACAGAAACTTACAGCAGATATTATAGCGTGTTTGGGCTTATAGTTTAGTCTCCATGAGAGTTATCTATTAGAATTAGTGAATTAAAAATAAATTTAAAATTTTTAAATAACCCCCGACACGAAAAATACTCTAAAAAGTAAAAAAATCAAATTGCTCTCTTGGCCTTTTCACTTCATTAAAAGTACCTACTCGTACCTATTAATATTTTGATGATGAGTAATAAAATAAAATCCAGAATACAAATCAAAAGAAATTGATAATGATAAAGTATTAGCATCTATCCATCATCTATACTTTTAATGAAATTAAAAGGCCCAAGGGGAAATTTGATTTTTTTACATTTTAGTTTTTTTTTGTTGGAGGTTACTTAAATTTTTTATATGATTTTATCATCATTAAAATTTGTATTAGTTAAAAGTTTCGTGGCGAATGAAATACATTTAAATTTTGTATGATTTTATTACAATTGTTTTTTTTTTAATTTTACAACCTTCTTTACAAATATAAAATCGTTTCGATCAATTCTGTTAGACATACTAGTTAATTACTTTCAAAATTAAATCACTCTTTTTAACATTATTTACAAAAATACATATTTACAAAACACGATCATTCTACAGTATAATAAATAAGGCGGCGAGTCGCTCGTACTCTAGGCTACGCTACGCTAGGTTAGGCTAGGTAAGGCTAGTATCACACTAGACGAGCACGGTGAGGCGCTCGGGCGGCGGGTGGCGCGCGGGCGGAGGCTCGGGCGGCGGCAACGCGCGCTTGGTCAGCTCCTTGTCGCGCGGCGGCGTGTTGTTGCGCGCGTCCGCGTTCTGCGCCTTGTACAGCGAGTGCGCGCGCGGCAGCTCGTCCGCCGGTCGCTCCGCCAGCCGTCCGAGCGCCTCGCCGTGCCGTTCCGGCCGCAGCGGGTTGGCGTAGCGGCGCAGGTTCTCTTCGTTCTGCAAGTTGTTGGACTTCTCCTCGTCGCGGCGCCGCGAGCGCTCGGCGGCGGCGGAGGCCCGGCGCCGGCGCACGTACAGAAAACCGCCCGCCGCACCGCCCAGCAGCAGCAGCGCCGCACCCGCCCCCATTGCCAGCGCAGCCCCGCTGGCCCCGCCCGCTCCGCCCGATGCCTCCGCCGGGGCAGCCCGTGGTGTGGGCGATGCGCCGTGCTCGACGCGCAGCCGTAGCGCGGCCGCCAGTAATGGGTGATGCGCCAAACGTCGGCGAGCCACGAGTTCACTAAGGGCTCGCACGGCGGCCGCGAGAGCACTGGCACCCTCAGCGTCTTCTTCCTCACCTGCCCACTGCGATAGAAGCAAAGAAATGTTCGTATATATTATTGAAAATAAGAAAATGTTAAAAAAAGACACCAACAGGTATAATTACTAATAGTTGTTATAGACAAGAAATACTGACCAAAGCGAGATCAAGTGCATCATCATCGTCAGGTGCTAGATCACAGAGCAGCGTCAGCGGTGGGGCAGGCGGAGCGCGGTCAGCAAGAGCGGCCGCAAGCGCTCGGCGCAGCGCCACGCAGGCGCGCTCGACGTGCGCTCCGCGAGCCAGCCGCTCGCGCGCCAGGCGCAGGGAGGCGCGCGCGCAGCCGGGCGGTGGCGGCGAGCGCGCACCCGGCCAGCACGCGCCCGGTGCTGGCAGCGCGGGCGGTTCCACGCGCCGCCCCGACACGCGGCGGCACTCACCCAGCGGAGAGCACGGCGCTCGGAGACATAAGGCTGGAGCCGCAGGAACGCACACCTACAAAGTATTATTTATTTTAAATACACGTAATATACGTACTTTGACAATAGGGTATTCTATTTTTTACAACACTGAACAAGATTTTGCTAAATATGTTGAATTTTGATACCTCATCGGTGCGGCAAGGTAAGGCTGCGGGTGCCAAGCAGTCGGGCAGACCACACCACAAGCGCGTACAAGCAGGCGCCCCGGCCACGCAGCGGCACGCATTGCAGCCCCACCACCACGTTCCATTGTCGGCGCCACACGCACCAGGCGTGTCACCAGATTCCGCTGCGCCCTCGACTCCGCTATCGGTGCCTTCGATTGCTTCGCCACTCTCAGCTCCGAGTCCGGCAATCACTGTAATCACCAAAATAGTTGTTAATAAAATTAAGAATTTCTCATTATTGGTAAATGAGATGTTCAAGTGTAATGGCATATAATTACATTCGAGACAGCGTCTAGCGAGTCTTGCCGGAGGAGGTGGACAAACACAACGTGCGACTGAGCCAGTAGTAGTGCAGGTCGCGGAGGAAGGGCAAGGAGGGTCACAAGTCGACGTCGAGCAATCTGTGCCAGTCCACCCAGAGGCACATTCACAAGCCCACCATCCGGAACCCCCTACACAGCGCCCGCCGTTGCGACACGGTGATGATACACAGCCGTCTGCGGCCCGCTCACAGCGAGCGCCGCCCCAACCCGCCCGACATGCGCACGCCCAAGTGCCTGCGCCACCACCCACAGCTATACATGATCCTCCATGAAGACAAGTACAAGGTACCCCTCCAGAACCGGTGTTTATTGGTACTATTGCAGTTTGAACTGGACTTGTCACTATCGGTGCCACCTAAAATGAAAATCAACTCATTGTATTCGTTCAATGTTGTATTCTAAACGGTAAATGATTGATTTCACATTTAAATGCATATAATATTATATAAGATTATATTTACATTGACAGGAGGAGTTATAGGTAAATCGCAAATGGTACCAGCCCAGCCGGGCGGGCAGACACAGTGAGCGGCGGTCGTGACCACAGCGGCCACTGATGAAGTAGGCAGCAGGTCACGTACACAAGTACCACCGTTCACACAGTGGAGTTCACAGCGTAGCTCCGCTCGCATTGTACACGTTTCTCCTAGAAATAATTGAGATAATAATTTTTTGTATTAAATGTAATTTATTTGGTTTTGTAAGATGTCAATATTTACCAGACCAACCCTCCATACAGATGCACGTAAAGCCCGTTGGACTGGTCACACAGCTACCGTTGTTGTGACAGGGATTGGGAGAGCACTCATCAACTTCTAAAATATAAAAAACACAAACTGTAAATTTGAAAAATTAACATAAATTTTATGAAATAAATGCAATTCGATTATTCAAAATAATGATTATAAATGACGAAACTTACGGTCTCTTGCAGCGCGCTGTGTGCAATTCTTGCCGGTCCAGCCGGGAGCGCAGTGGCAGTAGTAGTCGCTCTGCGCCGTGTAGCAGGGCGCGCCATTAGCGCACGGCGAGCCGGCGCAGTGGTCGCGATCATCCTAAGCACGTACATCAAATTTGGTCGTTAAATATTCTTGATATTATATATTTTAATTAATAATATAGATTCATCCTCTTACATCAGTAACTCACCCAGCAGTAGCGTCCCGAACAGGAGGTAAGCTAGAAGCAAATTTTTTGTAAGTGTATTAGTGGAAGCGTATTAGTGCCTTAGTATTTTATTCATATATTATAAAGACAAATATTATTTTATGTATAGTAATGAAAATATTAAGAATTAGTAAATGTTATTGTAAGGAATAGGAGGTGAAAGATGTTAAAGTTGGTGATAAAACGTCGTGCACCTCGCAATCCGTGCCTGAGAATCCAACAGGACATATACATCGGTAGGCGTCGAGAAGGTCCACACACTCGCCACCATTACGACAAGGTCTAGAAGCGCAGTCGTCCACGTCTCGGGCACAGGTCCTCCCCGCATAGCCTGCTGCGCACGCACAGTGGAAGTCGTCTACTAAGTCAATACATGTAGCTCCATTTAGACATTGGCCAGTGCAGTCATCAACGTTTAATTCACAGTCACGTCCCGTCCAGCCAGCCAGACACGTACAAGCGTATCCCCCGGCCGTGTTATTGCATGCCGCCGCATTCACACAGGGTCCAAGTGCACCTTCTGCGGCGCTATTCTCCGCACACTCGTTAATATCTGTAAATTAAATAAAATTGATTATTTGCTGTAGCATAGAATAGTATGTGAAAATGTATGAATGTTGACATCGATAGTCACCTTCGGAGCAAGTAGGTCCGGCCCAGCCCGAGGCGCATTCGCACTGAAAGGCGTCGAGGCGGTCACGGCAGAGGGCGCCATTGCGGCAGGGTGCGCTGGCGCAGTCGTCCACATCGGCGTCGCAGCGCGCGCCGGTCCAGCCGCGCTCGCAGGCGCACGCGAAGCCGGCCGGCGCGGCCGCTAGCGAGCACGCGCCGTGCGCGCACGGCTGCGGCGCGCATGGGTTGTCCACGCGCTCGCAGTCCACGCCCGAGAAGCCCTCCGCGCACGTGCACAGGTACTGGTCCGGCGCAGTGTTCTCGCACGTGCCACCGTGTTGGCAAGGCTCATGCGTACCGCAGTAGTTGAGATCTAGTTAAAAATGATTTATTAAAACAGATTTATGACTTGCAACACATTAATTGAATAGATAAATTTAAAAAGTACCTTGGTCGCAAAGAATCCCTCCCCAATTAGTATCACAAGTACAATCCCAAGAGGAGCCGTTGCAGTAGCCGTGCTTACAGCCAGGATAGGGTTGGCATTGGGAGCAGAGATCTCCTCGCCAGCCTGGACGACAGCTGAAATAAATTGAACATATGATCAGAACACTCTGTAAATATAAAGATAAAATGAAGCTACGCTGTCTTAACACGTTCGTTGCATTACGAGATATATCAGATCTCATGCAGGACTTTTGTATTGTGCGTTGACTATAATCGTGTAGTTTCACTCCTTGTGGGAGGCTCTAACATGTAAAGTTTTTAAGTATGAGTAAGACAAATATACATATTTGCTTCCGACTTAAAGGTGAATTCAAGGACATAAAAAAAATAGAGATGGATTAGGTCCCTAACGCACAGTAGTATAATTATTTTCATTCCTTGCGTTAGGAGACATGTTGATACTCGTAGAATCGTACGCCTCGTAGACGCAAGAGAGGGAGGGTGGGCGGCGCGGACGCTGCGTGATTCGATTTAGTGTTGTCCTAGCATCGACGTGGGAGGTTGCGCGCACGTTTCGAAAATAACTACGTGTTTGTATTTTAAAGTGTGTTAATAATTATTGATGATAAACAATGAGTCTTTTTAAAAGGAAAAAGTGTAAAAAGTCTATTTATTTTGGTGAGATTTCTAAGAACGAAAAATCTACGCCAAATTATAGTGCTGCATCGTCCAGTAAAATAACAATTTTGGAAAATATTCAAATTTGCTCCCCATTGACTAATAGTGACAGTGATTCTGATTATGAAATATTTGACGTACCTAAAAAAAAGATGAACCTTTCTACGTTGGAACACACGCAGCTAAGTAAAGAATATATATATATATATATCAGCCCATGTACTGGAAAAAAAATTAGTGTGCTTCAGAATACGATATCCAGTCCAAAGAATAGTAACAATAATACCACATTATTGATGACGAATACTACGCCGACTATACCTACTGATCCTATAACACCTACTCGTTGATTATGGTGTACTGTTTCTCGTAACAGTAGTGGTTTTTCTACTCCTAACTCGTGCACTCAAATGCTAAGAGAAACATCCAACACAAATGCTAAAGCTTCCCCTGCCTCATTGAATGCTTTATGTACATCAAGCAGGTGCTCGTCTTCGAATAATATTTCATGTTCGTTACCTTTAGAACTTAATGAGAGCAGTATGCAAAAATTGATTAAAACATTTATACACGAAAGAAAAACCACAGATGAAAAAAAAGAGGAAGAAGAAGAACAGTACGTAGAAAACCAAGAAATACAGAAGGACGATCCGGAGACGCAGACTGATGATGGAACCGATACCGAAATTGAAGAAATCGGTTCAAATGGAAGTGATGAATACATATGCTGTCTCATGGGAAGAGACATATTTATCTTGCTTCTAAAGTTTTGGCATTTCAGCGATGAAAGAAATGATGCTGGGGATAGACTCTACAAAATTCGACAAATACTTAATATGTTAAATAATCGTTTTAGAGATATTTTAACTCCCGGAAAATGTATCGTGATAGGCGAATCAATGATTCCCTGGCGTGGGAGACTTATTTTTCGCCAATATACAAAAAATAAATCTCATAAATATGGAGTTAAATTATATAAACTATGTACTCTTGAGGGGTACACTTTTAAAACCATAGTATATACAGGTAAAGAAGGAAATAGCAAAGAAGTGAACCATGGGAAAAATGTAGTTATGAAGCTCATAGAGGGTCTAGAAAATGAAGGACGAGTTTTAGTAGCCGACAACTTTTATTCTTCTCTTGATTTAGTAGAGGAACTCTTAGAAAAGAAAACATTTTACTGTGGCACGCTAAGATCAAATCAAAGAGGGCTGCCCAAGCAATTTATGTCTAAAAAATTGAAAAAAGGCGAAGTTGAAGGAAAAATGCTGCCTAGTGGTGTGAAAGTTATTAAATGGCACGACAAGCGCCAAGTTTCAATGATAACTTCCTGTAAAGCACATAAAGCGTCTCTAGTAGATACAGGTAAGATACATAAGAGAACTAATGAAATGATCAAAAAGCCACTATGATTAACTTATAATGATAATAAAAAAGGGAAAGACTACTCAGATCAAATGTCGGCATACTATATACTACTTTACGACGAGGTCTAAAGTGGTATCGGAAAGTGATGATGGAATTTTTATTTGGTACTGCACTCATAAACGCATGGATAATATACAATTCAAATACAGACAAGAAAATGTCAAAAAAAGAATTCACAGAATCAATAATCGAAACATTCGGAGGCCGAAAAATTTCCGGAACAGGTATGATAAATTTACTATTGCACAAATTACTATTTTTAATAGAACTCATGTGACAACAAGCGTACATAAAACCTGTACGTTTGTTGTGACATGACATCTAATAGAACGCAGATACACTAGGCTATCACTTTAGCCTAAGAGCACTCAAAATACCAGACACATACTTGTGCACTTACTGCGTTTTTCTCACCCTTTTTGCAGAGTATCGTGCTGTAGTCTGCCATTTTTTAGAGGAAACACATATTAATTTGTTCTAAACTTAACCATTTAGATTCAAGGGTGTGTGGATCAATCCAATGGCGAGCGTGGTGGTGTCGTAGATTACCGTGGTCAACATACCAAATAGTTCTTCGAAAACAAACGGTTCTTACTCATAAAGGTAGCTAAATCTCTCCAGAAACTTAGGTAATGGTTCCAGACAACGCATAAGCTTGGCATCGTTAACTAACTGCAGCACGCTTCGCATGAAACTAAGCATATTATGCACATTAATCATTCGAATTTACTGTACAAAAATCTTCTTGGATACAATTCATGTAAAATTAATAAAAGTTATTTCCAACTAACATCTGCCTGCCGTTATTTCGACTTTACGTGGTTTTTTGTTTTTTTTTTTAAATTTTTCGGTGTTTTTGAGATTGTCTTAGCTTAGTAGCATTTCTGGTGGGCTTTGCTACTTATCTCTAATGCCAGAGTGTTATACTTATGTAAGCATTATACTACACAGGAGAGATTTCACATCTCTCTGGTAAGTTTCTAGTAGCCTAAATATCGGTTATTATAACAAAAACGTTGCTATAGTAAACTTACAAGAGACCTGTGAAATCCACCTTTAATGTGTGAACTATACAGGTGTCCCATGGCAATGTATTATATAGGATGGAACTAAATTCACGTCCTTCTTTGAAATAGGGAGTACAGAAGGGATAACTGAACACGTTCTGAATATTTAAATTCGAAATAAAATATATTTAAAAAATTGAGTTTGTTGCTGATAGTCTGTTATTCTGCCCTATGCCGCCATACAAAAGTTGAAAAAGAACTTTCAATTTTGACTTTTAAATATTCAGAACATGTTCAGTTATTGCTTCTGTACTCCCCATTTCAAGAAAGGTCATTAATTTAATAACAAAAATACACATAAGATACTCGAATAACTTTTCACTTAGAAAAGGTAATAAAATTAGATTCCATTGCATTTACTTCACTGACGTGGTTGCATGCTGTTTATTTATATAATGCATTTTATTACAGAATTCCTCGAAGGAAGATGTACAGACCATGTTTTCCAACGTGGCAACAAGAAAAGACGTTGTGTGTGTTGTTATGAAAAATTACGACGCACATTAAACAGCACTGACGCTTCTAAAAAAGCTAAAAGAATTGTTACTATTTGCGCGCAATGCAAACAATCAATGTGCTTACCATGTTTTAATGAAAAACACTTTGCATAGTTTATAAATAAACTTCTTTAAAAAAACTTTTTCAATCGACAACTGAGATATTATTTTATTCCCATCACCACTTACTACACATATTGAACTATCTTCGGTTGCGGTACAAGATACAATCGATATCTATTTTTTTTTTGGTATTTGTAATTTATTCTAATGTCATAACTGCGAGCGAACCTAGCAAATTGTAGAGCAATAGGCTCTCTTGACCCACAAAAAATTCAAAATATATGTCATTCGTTTTTTGGAAGATATACATTATTTTCAGAACTGTATTTTTAGAAGACTGATTAGGTCTCAAACGCACCAAAGGGTAGGTTAGTTTCGATATCTTTTATGTTTCCAAAGCACCAGCTGAAAGTTCTTTGAAAATGATGGCGTAGGGAACGTGTTAAGGTATTTTCAAAACTTACAGGCACTCGCCGGGTTTATCGCATCTTCCATGAGTCGGATGACAGCCTTCTTTGCAAACAGCTGTAAATAAATAATTCTTTTTATTCAGATTGTCGAATGCTATAATGTAGCATAAAGCGTTAAAATTGACTATGTCAGGGCCTACGTTTTTCGCAGTTGTCGCCCTGCCAGCCGGGCAGACAGCGCTTGTCGCCAGTGACGGAGCAGGAGTAGTGACCGAACTTGTCGTCACGCGGGCGGCAGAAGGTGGTACAGGTGGTGTTGTAGTAGTTGGGCTGGCACGTAACGCGCACGCGGTACGCCACGGCAGCCGCTGCGCCCGCGTGCCGCAGCGCGTGCCACTCCGCGCCCGGCTCCACGATGCCCGACCACCACGCCTCCTCGATCAGGCCCGTCTCCTCTGTAGTTACAGTTGATACTATACAAAACTGGGGTATATTTTTTTAATAACTATTCAAACGAAAGTCACATACCGGGATTTGTGTAATTGTAGTCATCGTATGCTTGCAAAATGAGTGTGAAGGATCGCTGAAAATATAAAAATATAATATTAACCTGTAATAATTTTACGTAGTTATGTTGCCTATTATGACTTTTCAAGAAGAATTTTAAGACTAAATCAGGTGGGTGATATGCGTGTTTTTTTGTTTTCTTTCTATACAACAGGTTACATCGTTATATAATTGGAAAAAAATATCCAGTTTAAAAAACGGTAAATTTAATAAAAAATAATAATTTAAGAGTATCATACAGATGTAATCAACGAGTGAACGGGTCTAAATTGTTAGTACCAATTGCAAATACCAAACAACAGCGCTCTATTACAATAGACTTTGACGTCACATTCGGTCTGACCAATGGCGTTGCGTATCAACTACTTTGAAATTCGCTCCTATTTTTGCAGTTTGTCAATAATTATTTTCTTAATGAAAAGATGATTATAAACTAAATATTTCACTTTTATTTAAATCACACGCATATTCACTATTGCTGTAATATGTTTTCGTTTTAACAGGTTCCATTGTAATGAAAGTTGTATGATGACTCCATTTTATGAAGTAAGACTCCATTACTTAAAGAAAAATGTATTTAAAAATAAAAAAAAAACTTACAGTCCATCGGAATGAGAAAGGTAGAGACAGAGTGTAGAGCGGGTCTGCTAGCGTGAAAGAATCCGTTCCTAGGACAGGCGAAGCTGCTCGTCCAAACGAGCAGGCTCCGGGCGCGGCGGCGGACTGGTACTCCTTGAGGCACAGCGCGAAGCGCGTGCGACACGGATGCGCGCAGGATCCACCCGCCCCCACCAACGCCACCCCCGCCCCTGCTCCACCCACGTCTGGGGCTGGAGCTGGGGCGAGAGCGGTAGTAAGGGCGGGCGGCGGCGCGGAAGAGCCGCCGCAACACGCACCCGACGCCAGCTGCAGTCGGTAGTTGGAAAACTCGAGAATCTGCAGCTCGAACACGCCCGCCCCCGCCGCGCACTGTACATCAATCATTGTGGAACATTAATATCTTGACACTTTTATTAATTTCATACAAAATTTACGAAACTACGAAGCATAGAAGGAATCTATACAATTTGGCAGAAACGCCGTGTGAATATAGTGTAGTGTGTGGGGTAAGTAATCATTTCGATCGATAATAATGTGTCTTTTGTTCGTCAGACTACCCTCCTCCATAGCGGTCTCCTGACAGCGGGCGCTGTTTGCATCGGATTCCTGTGTTTTAGTAAATATATGTATATAATATAAAATAAGTTCTAAATAATAATAAAGGAACAGAACATCATACTTGAAATGCTACAACTAAAAGTTTAAAATTAAAATACAATCAAGTAAGTACATTTTTTTATATTGTTAATATTATGATGTACTAAGTATTGCCCGCGGCTCCGCCCGCGTTCAGATGACCAAAAACCAAATTTTTAGGTTTTATATATTAGTATACTCTTATATCTCTCAGAAATGAGATATTTTCCCGCGGTAAAAAGTATTTTATATGTTGACCCGGATAACCAGCTATCACCATACCAAATTTCATCAAAATCCTTCCAGTGGTTTTTCTGTGATGCGGTAACAGACAGACAGACAGAGAGACAGACAAAAATTCTAAAAACTATAAATTCGGCCTCTGTATCGATAATAATGTTTATTTCAATAAGATTTTCCAAAAAATATTTAACGTACAAATTCGGTTTAGTTACAATTTTATTATAGGTAGCTATTTTTGAGAGTCTAGAAATATTAGTATCGTAAAATAAAATAACTTTCACATTGGAATTTAGATAGCGCTTTCTTATTTCTATACAAAAACTAAAAACAAAATAATTTCTAAACAAGCAATTATTCGAAACTTGGGGCGGTCCCGTCGCGTTGCAGATGAAGGAGAGGCGTGCTAGGAACGTAGGAGGCGTATGGTTAATGGTACCGTAGGCGTAAAATGTTTTAATATTTTATGGTTATTTACTTAGATTTTGCGACTCTTATGGAACATCCAGTTTTAATCATACTTTCTTAGATTTACACAACAAATATTTGACAATTTAAATAAAACTATCGTATATAAAGGTCGGGAACCAAAAATCAAAATAAATCCGTAATAGAATCCGAATAGACACTATTGAGTTACATATCATCAACGCCATTTTCTATGTATTTTTTTAAATCACTTAGTGCTATAAAGAATTTAATAATACAATACTGCCATTTTTCTTGTGTTCAGGATAGTAGTACTTACTGTAAACTACTGTTTAACTGTTTTCAAATTCTAAATGTTTTAGCGACCCATGCAAAAAGTATATTATTAATTAATATAATATTGCGTATAAACTGAGCTTTGAATGAATCTATACCTATTAAAATAACTTTACTGAAAGCTAGCACGCAAAATCCGCGCAGCTACACTGCGGGTAGCGTGCCGGTATCGTTTATACAAACGAACGCATGCAGTGTCGGGAGCACGATACAATCTGAGCATTTAGTTTCGTAAACACACGCAAGGGTTTCAGCTTCCCAGAATACAAATACACTTTAAGCTGAATTGACAAGCCGCTAGTGTTGTTAAACGGATTGAAGCCGTATCATAACCCCGCGCAGGACGAAGTAGGTAGATACTCAAGCTTCGCGCCTTTCACAAGTAAAAATTAGCTCTTAGTAAATATAGTATATAAATATAGTATTAGTAAATATAAATATACTTTAGTAAACATAATATAAAACTTTTAAGTAAGTTTTATATTATTGGTATTAAAGTATATTCTGGTTGTTCCTTAAAATTTAATTTTAGCATTATTATTTTTTTATAACATTATTTTTTCTATTCACTTTCCTAATAAGAAAGAACGAAAGAATATTTCGAATGTATCTACCTATATTTAATAAGAAATAAATTGGATTTATAATAGAACTGTAAAATTAGATTTTTAAGGACTGAAATAGTTTCAGCTCATAGGTGAGAGGCGTTTACCCGCAGCGCCCCGCCCGGCGCGCTCGCCGCCCACCGCGCGCGACGCGCCTTCTCTCCCCACTTACTTACCACATAGACTTTAGAGGAAAATTGGTAATCGTAGTTATGTTGCACTAATTGAAGTAAAAAGTTAAGTATTTTGAAAATACTAGCATGGACAGCGGCTCCGCTCGCGTTCAGGTGACCAAAAACCAAATTCTTAGGTTTATACTCATATGACATATACCAATTTCATTTCATATCGCACCGCATGATCGGTAAATATGGCGGTGATTGACAATGCCACAAAGGTTTCTACGTTAATCTCATATTTGATTTAGTAATATTGCACTTTTTGTTTCAACAATAACATTTACCTATAGTATGTCTAAATAATTTCTTTTTTGTTTGTATGTTTAGTTTTGGGCGATAAACTCTCAAACTAATGAATTAATTTTAATCATTTATTTACTAATAGACAGCTATTGATTATTTTTTTAGTTAATTATTTAAATTACATAATGAGAACTTTTCTTAATGTTAATTTGTCGCGAAACAGGGATGTGTCAGCGCTAGTTAGTAATATTTTCCAAAACGATTTTCAAAAAGAAAGTGCAAAAGTAAGAGTTTCAAAAGTACCTAGGTACATAATTAAGATAAATAAGTAAATAATTCTAAGTAAATGCTTATTATTATTTCATATGGCTCAGCGAATATGATTAAAGTCGTAAGCACTTTATTGTGTCCTTTAAACGTTCCACCTTTAAAAAATATTATGCCAAAAAAATCTGAAAAAGTTGAGGTATAATACTTTCTTAGATTTACGCGAATATTTGACATTTTAAATAAAACCATCTTTTCGGATTTTTTCGCGGATTTATTTGGATTTTTGTTTCCCGACGTTTCGAATGCTTTACAGCATTCATGGTCACGGGAGAGACTGAGGTGTTAGATGTCTCGAAGAAATAGTTGTTACAGACAGCCTACCCATAAATAACAAAATGAAAATTGCACCAATTACCTTACAATATTTTTTAACTTTATACATTTTTATAATTTTAATTAGTTTTATAATTGAATATGGAATATTATTTATTTAATTTTTGCTGTTATTATTATAATTATTACAATTTTAAAAATATTAATTAGTAATCTGTACTTAGTGTTGCCATTATTATATTTATAACCGTAAAGAAAAAAATATAAAATATAATATTAATTATTTAAGCCATAATATAATTATTCTATGTATAATTTAAAAAGTTAACATTAATTAAGAATAATAATTTTAATTTTGTTTGCAATAGCAATAAATAATAATTTAAAAAGACAAATTACTAAGCAACACTATTACTATATACTTTTACAAATGAAAAATGATGAAAAAAAATTATTAATCTGAAATGCTGTCATTTTGATCCCCACAGTAAGAACTTACTACATTTATCTGTCTGTTATGTTTAGATTTATTATTTGATTTTATAATATTAATAACAGGATGCTGATTAGATTTATTATTTGATGTTATTAATGTCCAGAGGTTTTCTCGTGATGCGGTCACAGACAGACAGACAAACATTCTAAAAACTATAGATGCGGCCTCTGTATTGATAATAGTGACTATATTAATAACTATGTTTATTTCAATGAGATTTTCCAAAAAATATTTAATGTACAGATTCGACTCAGAATTTTATTATATGTGTAGATCTATACATATAATAAAATTCTAACTAAGTCGAATCTTTAGGTACATTAAATATTTTTTGGAAAATCTTATTGAAATAAACATTATTATCGATGCAGAAGCCGAATCTTTTGTCTGTCTGTCTGTCTATCTGTTATCGCATCACAAAAAAACCACTGGAGGAATTTTGATAAAATATGGTATGGTGATAGCTGGTTATCCAGGTCAACATATATAATACTTTTTACCGCTGGAAAATATCTCATTTTTGAGAAAAAATACAAAAACTGCAATGTAAGCGTATACCAATATGTAAAAACCTAAGAATTTTTGGTCATCTGAACACGGGCGGAGCCGCGGGCAATGCTAGTAGATAATATAATTTGCATATATTTCAAATTAGTGATTTACTTATATTCTACGGCTTTAGTTAAAGCCGCTTAGGCAGTGCTGTAAAGCAACTCAACGGCCAGGACCTTTTTATCGGAATATAAAGAAAATAGACTTATATTTTTCAGAATCGGATCAGTAGTTTCAGGTATTATAGATATAGATTAAGTCGTTAATCTTTTAAAACACCACTTATTTCTTATTGCTGATGACAAATTCTAGTAACTAAATTGTATTGTATTTAATTAAATTGTATTATTGTAAAAATTAATATCCGGGCGATCGAGCTTAGATCGGCTTAAGCGCTCGTTCATAGGTTATAATCCATGATTGGTGACAATGCAAGTAACACAAAAGTTCATGAGAGGGCGTTATATGATATTGTCAGCATGAGAATAAAAAGATAAAGGCTCTAATAATTATTAATTAATTAGTTATAAAAAACAGATTAATTATAAAAAAATGCGCTTTTTTAGAAAAGTACGTCTTCGAGTGTATAAATTTAAAAAGCAAAAATCTTATCTAAATACAAAATTTGATCCTAATCGTAAGAGCCGTTTCCGAGATACATGAAATAAATTTATACATAAGAATTGCTCATCTATATATATAAAAGAAAGTCGTGTTAGTTACTTCGCTTATAACTCAAGAACGGCTGAACCGATTTAGCTGAAAATTGGCAGGGAGGTAGTTTAGAGCCAGGAGAAGGACATAGGATACTTTTTATCCCGTTCGACCGCGTTCCAATTTTTATGATATTTTAATTTTTGGATTTCTCTTAGTCCGGAATAGGTAAGTATTAAAACATATAATTAAAATGTGAGAAAGAAAGATTTTTTCTTTTTATATCTATTTAAAACGTACCTAGCGACGAACCCGAGCGAAGCGAGGGTGAGCCGCTAGTTTATTATAATAATATTAACTTGTTTTAGTGTAAATGAAGACTACTTTTGCTCAACGATTTACAGTAAAAAG